TTACGGGCAGGAAAAACATCCGTAGAACCCTTTGGGGTGGGAGCACACAGAAGATTACGAGCCTTGGGCTTAACAGGAGCCGTAAAACATGGTGCTCCTGGAGCTCGATTATCCCACATGCCCTGCCACAGTTTTATGCCATTCTCCAAACGGAAGTTCTGGAAGTCCGATTCCTTCAGGTGGTGTATAATGGGTGCAAAGAGATACACAAAGAGCTGGAAAACAGAGATGGTAAGATACAAAGAATTAGGGCTTAGCAGTCTATCAGCTCACCGTAATAGTAGGCACAGAAAACAAGTACTGATCTATGGACTTGGATTTGGGCTCTGCTGCATCACCCAATCCCAGATCCTCGCCTCCCTCATCATCGGCGCATTCCTCGGCGGCGTAGAGAAGGATCCACTGCATGGTGTAGAGCAGCTTGGTTTCCACGGGTCCGATGGCCTGCATGTCCTTGACGCGATTGTAAAGTAGAGCAGCACAGGCGTGCATAACGTGTGGTAGAGCTCCTTGAAGCAGGCGCCATCGGGGAATGACACCCAAGCCCTTTGTGAGGGGTGGTGATAATCCAAACTGGATGTTTTGCACAAGCACTTTCTCAAAGGACTACCAAATGGAGTTAATAAATATCTTATTTCATAAACGTAATATTAGACTTACCTTGCAGGCTTCCTTCGACTCCTGAACATGGAAAAGTGGGCGGAAAAAAGTAAAAATTTATAGTAAGGTTGTTGAAGAAAACCTAGGTTAAAGCTAACAACATTACAGCAAAAAATGGGATCTTAAGACAAAAAACAAATCTTAAACATAGGCACATAAAACACCTAACATCTACAATATAAAAGGGAAACTAAAAAGTTTGGTGACCTCAATGTACAGTACACACTTTCAGTTCTAATTGCCAACTAATACATTGAGGTGACAGACTTTAGCGACTAGAAAAAAGGGTTATGACTACCACAAACATTTATAACTTACATGGTGTCCCGGTGCATGTTGACAAAACTACATTCAGATTCAGACAAATTGCGAAAAATTTTACAATGTTAATTTGTACAGTTTGTTATTGTTATGGTTGTTTTAGTTGGTTTGTGTTAAAAGCATACTGAATGAAATAAACACAAGCGCAGGAAAAGTTTTTGGGGTAAGTAAATAAATTAAATAAAAACATTTCCTGGCTTGGTATATGTATATACGAAGGACAGGTCTGTTGTTCAGTTTGAGGAAGGTGGCTGTGTTAGTAGTTGTTATAGGAAAATAAATCGAATGCAGGAAAGTATAAAAACATCAAACATCAAAGTCAATTTTGGGTTTTGGCTTCCAATTTTCCATGAATTTAGCTGAGAGAAATCAAAAGTAGAAGACATTGAACACCACTTATTTGTTTTTTTTTACTGGTGTCGAATTTTTTGTGCCAATCTGAATACCAATAGTTTGGGCTTTGGTATGATACACAGTCCAGCCTTACAACAAACACGCATAGCGAATATACAGCACCCAATTTATAGGGGAAATGTTTCCTTGTTTTCGGCCATCAAAGCATTCTTTACTTCTTTTTTTTTGGTATTTGGCAACCGCGATTTGAATTTCATTTTCGTTGGCCAGCCACGTAGCCAAACTCACCAGACAGGTAGACTCGTGCAGTTTGCCCAACCTGGGCCGGATGAAGGGCGCTATTTGGCGCCACAGGAATGTTTGCACGGACACCGGTAATCCGAGGTCCTGCAGCCCGCTATCCTGGTCAAAGTCAAAGTCATCGTTGTTGTTATTCGCCGCATGGCTGTTGTTGTTTGTCTGCAGGTTGTTGTTGTTGGTGGTGTTGCTTGGGTTTGCAGTTGTTGTCCCCGTTGCCGCGGCTTGGGTCACCATGGTGGCCAGCTGCAATGAATGGCAAGGACACAAATCAAATGGCGTGTGCAACAGCTGGTGGTCGAGTCGTGTCGAGTCGAGTCGAGTCTAGTCATTCATGAAATCCAAAAGGGGGGCATTAGCATATATGTATAGTATATACAACATTCAACAGGTGTTTGCGTGCGCAGGCTCGTCGCGCTGCCTTCCTTTGCTCCTGTTGATTTCGGGCTTTCGACAGTGTCGACTAGGTCAGTGCCACATTCATAAGGCCGCACTCCCCCGCCCAAAAAGTAGCCGAGATTTCGGTCCTGGGACGCTGCGCAGAACGCAGACTCCGCAGCAGCGGCGAGAACGAGGCGACTGGGTTATAGATACAGAACTGGGTTTCTGGTATACATGCTAATTTGGGGCAAAAATTTTCACAGACTTATATAACCCAAGTGGGGATTGTAGAAAATTTCGCTTTTTCCCCCAATTAATTGCTGTCCCGCTGTCAATTATTTGGCACTTAGCACACACTCAAATCAAACGCGGCCATTTGTACCAACATTTCGCTTGATTGGTGCCGCACCCATCGGCCATCGCTTCTGGCCAGCAGAGTTCTTCACGTTACTTAGCTGGGCTGGGCTGGACTGAGCTATCGGACGTTCACTAATTGCAGACCCATTTTTGTGATGGCGCCCGAGCAGGGTCTCTGAAGCACTTTTGTTTGATTTCAATATGCTTATTTTTTCAATCTTTTTTTTTCTGCAGCCCAGTTATTATGGTTTTTGCAAGGACTTACCTTGATTTGCGCGTGGCCAGTTTTGGATAACGTTTACTGCTGGAGCGTTCGGATGCAACTGAGACAAGCGTCGTTAACTGACGAGCTCTGAGCTCCCTGTCGTTGTTATCCTCGCTGCCGCCCTCGTCTCGCAATTCGCCATCGTTTCCAATGCCGACAGCAGCAGGCCAGCAGTGCGTATACAGGATATTTCGTTGGTGGAGCAAAACAAACAAAGAGAGAAGGCATATACACCCACACTCCATATAAAGTATACGCACTGGCCGGGCAAAAGGGCTGCTCTCCGCATAGTGGGTGTCCTGGCACTTATTATCGAATGATATAGGACGCATTCCGATTAGGACACCCTGTTTCTGAAGCACACTTATCAATGATAACAAATGCCGGAGGGTGGATATTGCGTATACGCTGTGGGGCGGCCATTAAATTCCTTTTGTCTGCCGGTTTTAAGGGTGCGTCTGCAAATAAATGCTGAAATTATAGCCTTACATAAGTCACTGCCTTGTTGTACCTAAGTGGAAATTAATGTCTCTGTCCACTTATATTTGTTAAGTATGCTCACTTCGCTGGAAACTTGTTTAATAACATTTTACTAAATTATAGGCTATGCTGCATTTGGTTTGACAGGAAAGAATCGAATGATAAAGAATCATATCATTAATTACAATTTTAAAATTCAAACCTAAAAGCTTACAATTAATTTAATACTTTATAAGACTAAACAGTTTTGTTGGTGATATAACATAATTTACAATTTCAACTGCTGGACCATGAAGTTTTACTGACAAGCTTTAATTTAATAATCTTATTTTAAAATCAAATCTGACAAAAATTGCTTGCAAAATTAATGCACATTGTTCCCAAATGTTTTCCCATCTCCCCGAGCGATTTATCAATGACTTGCGCACTTATATCTGCGCAGATTCACTGCAGCAATCGACTGCTGATAACAGCTGTTCAATTAAGGACCAAATCGGCCTAAATATCCTTGCAACAATTGCTCCTCTGACAACAGGTTGCCCCCGGGTGTAAACAATAACAATGCCAGGGAGGCTGCGCGGTTAAAAGCCGAGTGGATGGCTCTATTGACAGAGAGGAAGCAAAACAGTCAAGAGAACGAGCACCAGCCGGAAGTTGGCAACACAGCTGGGCTCGAATAACTGGGTCAAAGAAGGGCCTGTCTGATGGGCACGTACATTTACATATAGTGCCAAGGGCAAGGACATGGACTCAGTGATGCCAATGGCCTGTGTGGGAGGCAGCCAGCCAGGCAATTGAATGCTTAATTGCCATTTCCTTGCCAGATTTGCCGCCTTTTAAGCACCTCTTTTTACCCTTCAGTCTTGATCGGGCATTATATGGCTTTTTTTGTACCTATATACCTACGCAAATAACACGAATAACTATTTGTTGCTGTACATTTTTGCTCTGAATACGCTTCGTGTATCTGTGTCATAGTTTTTATAAATAGCACGCATTAAAATGTTGTAGAGACGGCACACAAAAAGGCGCCTGAGGGGCCAGTAATGCGCCTTCTATGTAGATGAGATGCGAATGAGGAATATAACTTTTGGAAGATGTATTTTATATGTATATGTATAAATATTGAAAAGGCTTTCAGGTGTTTTTCGGCCGACAAACAAGAAGTCGGGCATTTAATACCACCACCAACGACCGGCTGACAAAACATTTCGAGTGATAACACGCTAGACCAGAGGAATACGCTCGAAAAATACACGTACGCAGCGCGGGGCTTGCCAAAAAGACGATCAGGGTCGATGAGTGTATAAATATATACATATATATCTGCCAAAATACATAGTAAATGGCATCTAAATTTCCCCCGATGGCCCCTCCATGGAGGAAACAAACTATTGCGCAGCGCTTAACAATAAAATCTATGTTGCCCTGAAAATATTATCTGCAAAATCATCTGTAACATCGAATGATATTCAACACTATCCGGCTGGGAATGCCACAAGCGATTATTATTTTGCCTTCACGAAAAAATAAAATAGAAATTCAAACAGAAAATAACCGAAAAAAAACAAAATGTTATAAATAGCCCGGTTAGAGAGCACAACAAATGGCTCTGGCTCCAAAGGAGAGCCCAAATATCTGGTGGACGATGGACGATGGCCGATGGGATCTCGCGAGAGTGTGGCATTCGAAAGTCTGAAAAGTTCCCAAGATGAAAGTAAATTCTTGGCATCGTACATGGTCTATATGCTATGGTGTGTGTATAGCCTTGCGCAGGAGAAGAGCGAGCGTTTCGTCATCCATTCGTATTTGAATCTGTATTCGGGTCTGTATTAGATTCTGCAGCTGTGTCTGTGTGCTTCGGCGGTCGGCTGGTTGGCTTTCACCTCAGAATTACCTTGCCGTGCTGCCGCTGACGAATAACGTTCAGTCGAGACCGAGCTCATCCGCGATACAGTTGATTTTCGCATCAAACAGACAAAATGGTGAGTGAACATCGGCCAAGGAATTTTCTCACACATCTTCCTCGAATATCCAGTGATTTCTATATGCAGCAGTTAAAAAACCACAAATTTTCACACTCGAATTAATGCAAAATTCTCCAATCTTTTTCGATTCCGTTGACAGGCTGATGTTCCAAAGCGTGAAGTTGAAAGTAAGTTGAAAACCGCACGAAAAGGATTATCTTTAACCTCAAACGAAATCCATCAAAGATAAACCAATAAATGTACAATAAATCAACGAGGATATAGAAGTAAGCCCAGCCAAAGGACTAAAAACCAATAAATATGGGGATACCAGAAAAGTAAAAATCGATTACATAATGTGCGCGTGTGAGATACACAACAAAAAAGTACACAAAAAAGTCGGTGAACATATTTCGTAATCACTTGGAATATATTGCATACATATACGCGTGCCTATATATAACGTTATGCGGAAAATTTTCATTAAGGAATGCCTATATGCATCGCTGATCTATTTTCATCGATCGACAGATGAACGATGAACTAGAAACGATAACGGGAACGGGAAAAGGTTGCCAACACAATTCCGGTAGAAAATCTAGTGCAAAGTTATAGAAAACCCGCGGAAAACAATGGAAATCGTGTGTATATGTCGGGAAACCGAACTCGCGCATTCGTCTACGAGCCGAAATGCTGGTCGTCTAGAGATCTAATTTTGGCCAAGTTATTTCTTGGGATTTATTTTCGATCAAACGCACAGAAAGAGAGGAGAAAAATGCGCTGATGTGTGTATATATGCCTATACACTGTGTATATAGCGTAGACGAGGGCGAAGGCGTTCGGTTCGGGTGTCGGATTACGTATACGTAGTGTGTTCTTCGGGTTGGCAATGCTCCCAGATCCCGATCCCCACTCACGCATACACTCACACGCGGCCAGTAACTAATGCCCAGCCATGTCAAGATTTTCATGATGACCAAAAATGTGCGTACCAGAAATTTCAGGGTTACCACATCGACCCCATTTTCAAAAAAAAAAAAAAGGGTGCCACCCGCTATCTAAAGTATTTTTAAATCAACTAATGCAATCGCAACAATGAATGAAATAAAATAAAATAAACAACAATTTGATGCGATTTACCTTCGGTTACAAGGATATACAAATGCTAATTGAGTTCCTTTCGTGCAGATGTCGAATTCGTTTTCGAAGTCATGGGCTCCGCCGGCGAGGGCATTGATGCCGTCGATCTAGGTGATGCCCTCCGCGCCCTGAACTTGAACCCCACCTTGGCGCTGATCGAGAAGATGGGCGGCACCAAGAAGCGCAACGAGAAGAAGATCAAGATGGATGAGTTCCTGCCCATCTACTCACAGGTGAAGAAGGAGAAGGAGCAGGGCTGCTATGAGGACTTCATTGAGTGCTTGAAGCTCTACGACAAGGAGGAGAACGGCACCATGATGCTGGCTGAGCTGCAGCACGCCCTGCTGGCGCTTGGTAAGTTTTCCCTTGAGTTCCTAATCCACAAACTCCACTTAAACGGCGTTTTTTCCTGCCAATAGGTGAGAGCCTGGATGACGAGCAGGTGGAGACTCTGTTCGCCGACTGCATGGACCCCGAGGACGAAGAAGGATTTATCCCCTACTCTCGTAAGTATTCGTCCCTTGGGCAAGACAGAACCTTTTGTTTTTATATATGTACGATTTGTAAACGCCGTCTGTCTATTCCACATGTCACTCTTTGTCTGCGCACAAACCAAAAATCCCAACCACTCTGCACTGTGCACTTTGTACCACCATCACAACCTGAAAAAAAAAACCCCCAAAAAATATATGTATGCGTATCCATGTTTGCGTGTCAAAATCCTCAACCATTACACTTGAAAAAAAAAAAAACAAAACAAAACCAACTCCCGAATGTCAATCGAATGGTCTCTGCACGGTGATTGCGTCCTGTTTTCCCGCCGTTTGTCGTCGATCGAAAAAAAAACAGAGTTCGTCCAGCGCCTGATGAGCGATCCAGTCGTCTTCGACTAAACAGTAAGTAGGGATTGAGCCCAGGCCCTCCGCCTTGATGTCTTAATGTCTGGATGTCTAATTGTCCATTTCTTGTTGAAAGGTCTTGTACTAATATTGACTTTTCTCAACCTCTATTCCACAGCATTCCTCGCCAGAATGTGTGATAGACCAGATCAGCTAAAATAGTTGAAAACAACAGCTACAAACCAACTACAACAACACCAACAAACTTTTAGCGACAACCATTCTCCATAGATGTTATATTCATCGCTAACTCTCTCTATCTCTCTCTCGTATATTATTTTAATTAAAAATTACTTCTGCTACTACAACTGCAAAATTGAACTTCAAGATAATATTATTTTTTAAAAAATAAAAAAATTTAAATTATAAAATAACGGAAAAAAACTGAAAAAAATTCAAAGTTTCGTGCCCATTATTTTGTTATTAATTTTTTTGTTGGTTTACCAAAAAGCAAAGCAATGATTATTTTATATGAGATGAAAATAAACCAAATAGCAAATAAAAATAATGTTTAGGCAAATTCAAGATCCGAAAACGCCAAAAAAAAGGCAGTAGCCAAGTCACGAAATGTGTTACTTGTTGCCTCTTAGCCTTCTCAGTTTACCATGTGAATGTGTGAAAGTGAAATAAGTCAAATGTATTTAAATAAACACTAAGAATAATTGTGCAGCCGAAAGGTGTTGCACAATCAATGAAATAAGCCGTGAAGAGGGGGGATCGGAAGATGAGGTCATTCATTTGAAACGACCTTCTAGCGGTATCCAATAATTTATAGAGGTTTTTGCTTGCTTAGCCTTAATAATCATCAATAATGAGGTTGTTTTGTATAAGAGCACCAATTTTTAAAAGACTCATGTACAGGTGCTATATATATCCTTCTTGTTTAGCATATTATTAAGCCATAACATATATATCCCAAAAGTTTCTATAAAACGCATCGTGCAATAAAAAAAGCACTCTGTAGTCGATATCGGAACCTATAGATATTTTCGGCTCAGGCTGAACTAATTTAGACGGGACACCAACCATTACAATACATTAAGCAACACATACAGCTGAGTTTATTCAAATTAAAGTTGTGTTGTTAAAAGCAATAATAAATACATAGGCATTAGACATTAAACACATTTTAAATTCTCCAATAACAGCTGGTGTAGGACAAATTATAATTTTTAATTAGGTATACTCAAAAATGTATTTTTGTTTTGAATACTGAGTGGTAAAAGAGTAATCCAAACAATTTAAAATTATCAAGTAAAGCACTGAAAAGATTTTCCTTTTTAGTAAATCCATTCCACCCCTGAGTACCGTGTACTAAAAAGCTCGTGACCGGAAAAAGCTTAACGGCGCGCGCCGCCTGCGAACGTTAGTTAGGAATGAAAATCAGTTGAAAACGAGATAACAAACCCAAAAGATACAAAACAACCGACCGAGCGGGTGCTGTCTCGCCGTTTTACAAAATTTGCACTTACAAAATTTAAAATAAATTAGCCAGTGAGTGCCAGTGCAGTGAGTGAGCGTGAGTGCAGAAATATTGTTAGCATTGTTGCCATCGCAAAGTATATATTTGTGAGCAATTTTCGGCCAAATAATCCAGTACGATTATTGCATAGTGCAAAAGTGAGAAGGACTTGCCCAAAGATACACACACAAGAAAATACCGACAGATCCTTTGAGTTTTCCCGTGAGTGCAACAAATACAGACACGGTACGGTACACACAGATACACGCACTCACACATACTCGCTCGACTTTCAATATGGCGGATGTCCTGGAGAAAAGCTCCCTGCTGGATGCTGTGCCAGCACTAGGCGACCCCCATCCCCACCCACCGCTGCCCCACCAGCAGTTGCAGTTGCAACAGGAAGCTGTAGCAGTAGCAGTTGCAACAGCACCACCACCACAGCAGCAGCAGCAACAACAACAACAACAACAACAACCACCACCACCACCACCGCAACAGCAACAACAACAACAACAGAAGCCTGCAACTGCGAGGGCTAATCAGGATCAAAAAGGTAAGGGAGAGTTACCATATACTATGTATGTAGCATATACACCTTCACTTACCAAGTAAAAGTGACTTCATAGCGCATTACGCATACGCCGGGTGTGTAACTTAGAAAATCAATTAGGAAAGTTCAAGGCACGCCTGCATTGGCGATGTCTCAATTAGGAAAATTGTTCGGCCGGCACTCCCCAGGACATCATTGATGGTTATGCCAATGGGACATGCACACCCGATTCACGACCTCATGCGCCCGCCACATTATGCAAATAGTTTTGGTGCCGTTTGATCTGTTTGAACAACGGCTTAGACCCGCAAGTTTACGGCTTTTGGGCCTGTCTGAAGAGGCCTCGACTGCCGGCAGGATGTGGATGTGGCTTCATTGTGCCACCAGCTCTCTTCATTCGGTTTAATGACCTGCAACTGTGGCATGACACCACCACCCACACTGCGGCCGAGTGCAGCTTTTAATTGCGCTTAATGCCCGGTGCCTTCAGTCCAGACCGTTGCATTGTCTGGGCCCCAGTGTGTATCTATCAGATACAGATACAGATATAGATATAGCCTACTGCGATAAAAGTTATCAGCAATTCGAGCTCGTGCTGATGCGGCAGCTGCACTCAGAAAAAGAGTGTCCCTGTTGTTCAGGCCCTTGCCTTTTTCTTTTTCTTCCGAAGCCCCTTAAAGCTATGTAAGTCATGCCGTAAATTTCCATAAACTACACAAATTATTATTTTATTTATTTTAATAGAAATTAAATAAACACTTTGTGGAAATGGTTTTGGAAATAAGAATTCCATAATTAAATAAGTGTAAAATATATAATTTACCTAAAACATTTCCATAAAGTATTTGTTCTATTTCCGCTGGTTAAGTGTAAGCCAGAGTTCTTTAAGCGAAGCTTCATTTTATACTTACTAAGCTAAAAATTCTGAGTTAACTTTCTAAAAAATGTTAAATATTAATACATTAATAATATTTCATAAATATGTATATATTTTCGTTGTTCACATTTATTGAAAATTGTATTGTAAATATAAACCTACCTAGCAGCTAGAAAAATTGATTTTATAATAACAACTTTATAGCGAATTTCCGAAATTTAGATTTTCTGTTTTTTGAGTGTGCTGCTGTTGTGGTTACTCTGCAGCTGACCTCGTTTTAAATCAAGCCGTGTGTACCTTCAATAGGGGTCGTTCGGCTTTGCGGAATTCACTAAAATCACTCGGTTAAATTCTATAATGTATGGGTTAGGGTATCTCCCTCACGACTTGCATCCATTTCAGCGTTTCCCTAAAACAGTTGACTTCATTAGGCCTGTGTGATGTGTGTGCAGCGACAAAGATACACCCCAGCCTCGGGTGATGATTAAATAAAGTGTTCAAGTCAAGAGCAAACCGGCTCTGCTAAACAAAAACAATAACAATGCGGCGGTGCTGTTGGTATTGTTTAGCTTTAGCGCGAATAATAAAAGTAAAAATATAGTTGTTGATTACTATCAGCGCTCTCATCCACATGAAGTCACCCGATCTATATCACCTAGATTATAAATGGCACTCGCTCGTGTTTTGTGTTGATAAGCTGATGGAAAAGGCTTTCTACCTGAATGACAAGTTCGCACTTTCTTTGCCAATCATATATTTTCTAATACTAATACTCAACGTGTGACGTAATGGTGCTCCATTGAGAACAAACCAATCTCTTTGCTCTAGGTGCGCTCACCGAATTTATAAATAGCCAAGATTTGTTGCAATTTCTGTCCCCTATTTCCAAGTGGCTTTTCAATTATCACAAAACGCTGCCAGCTGAGCGACACGTTCGTTTCTCATTTGCATTTGGCGCTGCAATTGATTTTCCCTCCAAGTTTTCTTCTCTTTGGCTTTGGCTTTTATATTGGGGGCGTGCTCTAGTTTCTCGTAGATGCCTTTTTTTCCTAACAGAAAGCTTTAAAAACTCTGGTAATTGTTAAGGTTTCCGCTTTGAGAAACAATTACCGAATATTTGGAGCCATATTTGTGCGTCGCGCCTTAATACAGAACTTTTCAAGCAAGACGAATGTGGATTTCGGGTTTTGATTTTGTGACATTGGGATACGCATGGCCTGTCCATATGGTCTTTATGATTAATTAATTAGTCGATAAATCGATTTGAGAATTTGTAGCTACGGACGATATAGAGAAGAGCTTGCCTTATGGCTAATTTGTCGACTAGGTGCAACGATTAGCATTCACATGGCGCACAATGAGCGTTCATTAGGTTGTTTTTGTGCCCGGGCCTGTGACATATTAATGCATTGTATAACTGTTTGGATGCATCTCCAGAAATGCGGCACAGTTCGGGGGGGCTTGATTAATTAATTACAAAATGAAAAGTTTGATCAATAAAGTTGGCAACAAAAAATTAATAAAGCTCCTGAGGACTGCTTCTGCTGGTTGGGTGTTTGCTTAATTGTTTTCCCGCGAACAAAGTGTCGCTAGACACGCGACATGCAAATCCCTTTCGGTCCGTGTTGCCCTCTAATTAAAGCCACAAAAGAGTTGTCAAATGGCTTCGGCGCGAACATCGCCCCCCTTTGCAGAGCTGGCATTTCCAATTCCAGTTCAATTAACTCGGGGGACCTGCTTTGATTTCGATTTACTTGCCTGATTTTCCACGATTATATGGACACACATTTCGCTGCACTTTCGCCAGTTGGGGAGTCTTCAGTTGGGTGGGTTACCCAATCCCAAAGCCATCCCAGTGGCTAATACCTCTTTGGACAGACGCCGCATAATTTGTTGTTCTGGTTGAAGTTGTAGCCACGTCCATATTTGGCCTGCCAGCCCGTTTTGGCTGACATATCGTGCGTGCTGCTGCCGCACTGTGACAACAACTGTCACATTTTGTGGAAGCCAATCAATAATCGAAGTGCGTCAAAAATACAAATGTTAAAGTTACCAAACCACCAGCCAGCCAGCCCGACCATAAATACAGCCATGTTCGACACGAAATCCGCGCCACCAGAGGTCCTAGTCGATAGAGCCATAAATTTGGCGCTTGATTAATTGATAATGTGTCTCTGAGGGGGGATGAAACTTTTGTATTCAACTTGGTTTTAAGAGAATAAACTGTATTACATAATTTGTATGCTTCTATGTTGTCTCTACAGTGTTTTTAGAATGTTGCCTTAATATCTTAAGGCATTGTTATTCATTCTTTCCACTACATGATCATATTATTTCAATTGAATTTTTGTTTGAAAAACCAACACTCTTAACTACTTATTTTTCATCGAAAAAATCATGGACTTGCCATTCTCAATAAAGTATGGCTGTCTCTAGAAATATCTACAAGTTTATCTATTCTATTATTTTAGTTTAATTTTAAATTGAAAATCCTCTTAAAGAGTTCGATTGTCACCCAAAATGACTTATTACTAGCTGTCTCTAGAAATATCTAAAAGTTTGAAGATGAAAATGAATCAATAACTCCAAAATATTTTTTTCTGGCCAATAACCTAAGGCTAGGCTTAAGTTTGCCTAAAAAGACATTCACTTATGTTGTTTTTAAGGGAAATATTTAATTCCACGTTGTTTTATTTAGAGAGTTAGTTAAACTTGAACTCCATTTGCTAGTTTAGTAGCGGGATCCACGACCAAAGCCTCCGCGGAACTCGAGATCCCTAGAGCCGGGGCCCACGTCGCCCGCCTTGTCCAATCCGCCATCGCCAGGATTGCGTCTGTAGTTCGAGCGGTCCTGGTCGGTCTTGGAGGGACCGCCTCCGAATCCTCGAGGTCCTCCAGCTCCTCCACGTGGACGCACCGCATCGGAGCGAGCAGGACGGGTCAGGGTGGTGGGCACAATCTCCGGGGGCAGGTGCAAGTAGTTGCGCAGCTCCTCGATTCCCTCGTTGGTCAGACACCAGTAGTAGTGCCTCCAGGCGAACTGCTCCGTGACCAGGCCACGCGAATGCAGCGACTGCATCGTCTTGATGACTTGCAGATTTGGGATCGATGCCAGATCGGGATGCTTCAGGACGCGAGTGTCCTTCTTGGCCACAAGTACACCCTCCTTAAAGAGGTACTCATAAATGGCAACTCGATTAGCCTTTGGAATAAACATGATGGACTCTTTGATTAAAATCAGAAAAATGCCTTAAAATGAACTTAATACGTTGAAAACGCAAAACGAAAAGAAAGGGATATAGGTAATGTGACCAACCGCACTTATAAAATATTTCTAAAGCTTTAAAAAGTGTTGGAAACTTCTCCGTGAGATTTCCGTATTTTTTACTTTCGATTTTTAGAAAGATCCTGCCCAATAAATTTAAACCTAATTGGTATTTCAGTTATAAGATTTAAAATCGAAGCAATCAGAAGACTATAATTTTCGTTTTAGTTATGCATTGAATATTTAAAAAAAGATAAAAAAATACTAGTCTAGATTGTTTATTAACGTTTAAATGTCTTGGTCCAAATAAATTTTAATTTGATTTTTTCTGGATAGTTTCTGGAGAGCGAAACATTTCCCATTTTAAGAGATCTAAGCAAAGTGTTGTGAGGATTGGCCTTTTTTTCCCAATATGTCGCTGCACCTTGCTTTATATTATCTGCGTTTTACGCCTCCACACTCCGGCGGAGCTGTGATTCATCTTTTGCGTCGCAGGACATTCTGGCCAAACATGCGCAGTTCGAGCGACCGCAAGCCACATGAGGAGTTCCTCCCTCACAGGAATGCTGAATAGAATAATCAATGGGCGAAACGCAGACACAAATTGACCAAGGGAAGCCAACCAAAAGGGATGGCATGCCGATAGACACAACGTGAGCCCACCCCGACCGGCGGCATCCCCCTAAATAAGCAAAACAAACGCCGGGAAGAAAGGAAAACGAAAGCAATTTGGGGGTGGCAAAGCAAAGTGACAACAAAAAGCAGTCGACCTTGCTTTGCGTGCGTTTCCGATTAATTGCACTCGCTTTACATAACGTTTTAGCAGTTTCTAATTATTTAAAATGTTCTCTTAATCCAATTTAGGGTTCTTCTAGAAACACTTTTCAAATTATTCGGCTTCTTTAAAAGTGCTGACCAAGACTATGTTACTATCTTGGCATAAACTTTTCAAGCTTATTTAAGTTTGGAAAGACAATATATCATAAAAATTATTAATCTAAAGTGACTAGGCGCCAAACGCCACCAGTGCTGCCAATCAATGGTTGTAGTATTAACTTAACAATGGCTTATGTATTCGCTTAACTTAGACACCAACCACGCGGCGCTTTGGTAAAAAAGTGAGGCGAATTGGTTATAAAGTGCGGCGAAATAAAATAAAAACAAATTCGTTACATTTTAACTTATCAATATAAACAAATAAGGAAAATAAGTAAAATAAGACTTTTGTTTCTCAAAAAAACCTATTAAAAAAGGTTGCATTAAATTAAATTTTATTTAAATTTAGTAGCATGAACTCTTATTTAGGAATTTAAAAGTAATTTAAAATGTTTCTTACTTTCTCAGTGATAAAAATCAAATATTCTCTTATTTTTGGTTTGTATGCATATTTGTCGGATAAAATTTCGTTTGTAATAAACTCAAAATGGCTTTACTAATTGGTATGTTAAAAGAATATAAAAATCTAAGGGCATTGTAAGTATCAGCCCCCAAAAAATCTGACTAGCCTAGTAAGCCCCCATAACCTTGACAATCGAACTAGGGTAAAGAACCAACCAGACTACACTGTGTCTAAGGATTTATCCCTAGCCACCCTCATGTCGGTTGGGATCGTCGCTGGTTCACTTTTATGTCTACGCATTGGAGCCGGAATCTTGCGTGCTGGCTGCTTGTAAATAGACAACAATTAGGGGAACCTATGACAACAACACCTGGATAATGGGAAGGCCGTAATAAATATTTGCGGTGCGTGGCAAGCGGTGCAAGTTCCCTTGACTCGTATGTGTGTGTGCTCGATTGCCGTTAGCAAAAGCATTACGGCCGGAGAACTGCACAAATGCGCGCCAAATGCCTCCCCCCAGGGCCCATTAAATTAATCAAGTCAAATGAAATCTGCATATAAAATCAACGGAGCCCCCCTTATTTCTCATTGCTGGCGTGTTGAATTTGCATTTTTCCCCGGCGCCCCACTAATAAGTTTGTATGTCAATAGAATAAGCCAGGCGACGACCAAAGCGGCGGGCTGCTCCAACCAAAAATATCCTGCTCTTTGAACTGCGCAAGGACACATTCTGTTTATGCGCCCCGAGAAGTTTACGAGCAGCTACGCTCCGTCAGTCCAAGTTGGCGAATCAAAACAAATTCTAAGTATTGTAATTCGAAATTTTTCAAAGCAAATAAAAGCAGTCGAGTTTTAACACTCGCGCCAAACACAACGCAGTTCAGAGCCGACGTCGCGTAGTGGTCTACAACTGATCAAATAGTTAAATAAATAAACTAAAAACAAACTATTCATAAGTATATATAACAAATATAAATTAATAATCATTTAAGGCGCAATTTATCGAGAGAGTGGCTAGTTCATAGGTAAATTCTACACACACACACACACACACACATATATATATATAATTGTGGCCAACGCAAAGTGCAAAGTGCATTAGCCTTCTCAGACTGTACAAGTGGCCAAGTTATTGCCCTCTGGCTAGGAAAATCGATACAAATGCACGGCGCTTGTTTTATGGCCAACTGCAACAATTGATAGTGGTCTGTATGTGTGATAAAAATCGCTACTGCAGTGGCAGGCAAGCGGGAAATTCAATTGCCGAAGGACCAACTTTAGTTAGCAAAATATTCCTGGTTAGGCAGGCTTTGTCTGCCTTGCGAAGAGAGGGTGAATCTAATTGAAAAGCGGCAGCAGGAGCGCTTAGGAAACTTTTGTGGTTTATGCATTGCACCTGTACCTGTGCAACTGTTGGCTTTCAACTGCCTACGACCAACCAACCAACCAACCAACCAAGCACTACCAATGATAATCAATTTGGCCAAGACCATTTGGCCACAAATGACAGTTGTCGTTGTTGCGGTTGACATGAACATTGTGTGGAATTTCGGTTTATGTCACAAATCATTGTGGCCCTAATTTGCAGTTGCTGCTTCGGTCGGGCCTCCTTTATATTTTTCATATTATTTTTTTTGCTGCCAGGAAGTTGGCGATTTCGACTCTGACTCGGCACAAGTCGCAGTTGGGCCTTTAGTTGCCAGTCGGGTGTGGCACGTGCTGAGGTTACAGCTCCTCCAGCAGCAGCAGCAGTTTTAAAAGAGTCCTGACCGTGCAATTTTATCGATTCGCCCCGTCAAATGTAACACACCAAAACTAAATGCAAAAGTTTTCGGCTCTTTCGCATAAAGTTAATTGCCAGGCAGTGCCGAGAACCAGAACACCAGTCCACACAGTCTATAGTCTATAGTCCACATTCGAAGAGTACCCCACTCTGATATGAGTGATACCGATGCGGTGAGTTGTGGTTCAAGTACCCTCACATTTATTTTTTAGAGCTGCACTCAAAGCACCAAATTGCCCATGCACAAATGATTTACGAGCATAATTTGAATATGTCGGCCATGTTAATGGGTGTATTATGCCGTCGACCTTGCAAATACCCCATTGCATATACCTCATTGTCAGTCAGCCGCAAGGAGCAAAGCGAACAGAAAACCCTTTGCGAAACAAATCAAACAGCGATTTCTTGTGGCCCGTCGATTTTGGGCCTTAGAACTGCCGAAACTTTTGTTGAATCAATAAGCCACAAAAACAATTTGGGTCATGTTACAGCTGGCAACCGAATTTCATGACAAAATTCCCTAATGGTAACCAAAGAGCGGCGGCGGCCCGAAAGCCGTAGACGCCGAAAATACCAAAACCAAAACAATAAAATGTAAACAAATGCAGAAAGAGCCATCAAATTTGAAAGCACCCACTCAATGGCAACTATATTGATACCTCTGTTCCGATGATACACGAGCACTTGGCACCCCCACACAGTCGGTGGGTGAATCCACAGCGATATATGGCCATACATATGCAAATGATATGGGCCAGTCAGTTTGGAACTGTATGTACTGTATATGGCATTGGCCACCAAAAGCTGCCTTTCGAGCCCTGCCACGTATTGGGTTACCCGACACTTGCACATTTCTGCACCGACACCGCAGGCGAGAAGTCCTAGCTCCAGGATGTACGGCACGGCAAAGGAGCGATCGAGCCAGCAGGTTTCCCAGGAGGATTACCCACTGCAGCAGCAGCAGCGTGGTCAGTCCAAGTCAGAGTATCTTCCTGCAGATCGCTCTAATTACGGTTTGGAGTCGGAAGCTGTAGATCGCCCCAAACAGCAGTTAAGATCACAGCCTGCTCAGGAGGCAACTGATTCAGCTGTAGACCGAAGCAAACCACAGCTAGGAACTCAGCCAAACAGCAGTACTACCCTAGACTCTGTGCCAACAGATCGCTCTAGGCAGCAGTTAAGAACTCAACAGAATCCAGAGTACCTGAGCAATGTGGGAGCTTCCTACGAGGCAGCCAGAGGTGATCAGCCCTCCCTGAACCGCAATCAACAGCAGCCATTGAGATCCCAGCCAGCTGCAGATTACTCCAGCAATAGTTTCGTAACTGAGAGACAGCAGCGTCCTCAGCCAACCACAATTGACTACACCGGCTACAATGCACCATTGCCACCGCAACCACCACAACCCAAAGATCGCACATTTTCACGCAGCAACTCCAAGCCCACCATCTCACCCCAACCCAAGCTCCAAAGTAAACCCAATCCCGAGTATGTGCGACCACCACAGAACTTTGTCTTGCCGCCGCAGATGCGTCCTGCCGTGGGGCCACCACAGCCGCGTCCTCCGTTCGCCGGAGCCAGACCGATGGTCGGGATGGTGGGACCACGTCCGCCCATGCCACCCAATATGGGGGCCCGGCCACCGCCCCTGCGCACCACAGACAGCAAGAGCAACTTGCTAATGGGTCCGCCAATGCGACCGGGAATGCCACCGCAGCTGAATATGCAGCAGGCTCGTCTGCCCAACTCTGGCGGACCACTGAGTCCGCCAGGACAGGGGCCGCCCAGGCCACCTGGTGGATTTCCCTGGAATCCTGCCGGGGCTCCGGGAATGCCACCGGGCGCCAGACCGCCCCAGAATATGACGCGACCACCGCCACCCACATTTGCCCGCCCGCCGCCGGGTCAACCGCTGCAGGCCCCCTTCCGACCGTCCTTCAACCAGCCGCCCATGCAACCGCAACCGCTACCACAACAACTGCAGCAGCAGCAACAGCAACAGCAACACTTGCAACAGCAACCACCACCACAGCAACTACGCCCACTTTCGGCACACAACAACGATGACGACGATGACGTGGTCATGGGTCCTGCGGTGACCCCGCTCAAGACCTTCAACGCGAGGCCAGATCCCATGGGCGAGCCCCTGCTGGAGGACATTGAGCCGCCCTTCGAGACCAGCCCGCCGGCGGGAGATGCCCGGAAGGGACCTGGATTTAGTAAGACCCCGTGTGAAACTGTTACCATTAGTAAAGCCATTTTGGAGTTTGTTGCTCAAACATATATTATACGGTTAACCAATTTCGAAAAGTTATTTTCTGCGCTACAGCTAAGGTATTTTTCAGATTTTTAAACAAGTGTTTGTTGAACATTCCTTTGAACATAAATTAACCATCAAATTAACCTTCCTTGAAATGGAATAAATTTATAACTTCTAAAAAGTTTAGCATGTATATTTCAAAAGTATAAACAAGGCTTCAGAAGCAAAAGCGAATTTGAGAAAACATAACTTCTAGAGCTCCATATTAGTGAAATTTCGTCTTTTTATTCCCAATCAATTTTGAATCATAATGAAACATTTATGTCTATTTTATAGTTTTTTTAAAACTACCCAAAGTTTTATTATGAAATTTATATTTTACGACGAAAAGGTTATGAACCTTAATTTCTTAATAATAAAAAGTATTCTGATGAATGTAGAGCTAATATACCTACCTACTAGAAAATAGAATTAAGTTATTACAGTACCAGACTTTATATGTAACTAATTTGTTTGTCATCAATTTTTTTCAGAGGGTGACAATGACAGCGGCGTGGATGAGTCCACTCAGGAGAAGGTGAGTTCAGATCGTCTTTGAACTAGTTAACTAGTTGGCCATAAGTTGTTACTACCGCTGCGTCTCCGTTAATTGAGAGGAAATTAACTGGAACTGGCAACAAATTAATTTAATTCCGTTGACCGTCTCTGTCTGCCTGCCGCTGAGTTGAGTTCTCAAATCATAAATATCTGTAAAAGGCCGCGGCAGCCAGCGGGTGAGCTGCGATCTACGAGCCACGAGCTCCACGGTCCATTAGAGACCATATAGCATATAGCAAATGGAACATAGTCTGCGACAGTTCCGTCGCTCAGTAAGTTCAGTTCCCAAGTTGGCCCGTGTGTTCGTGTGCAGACGCCAAAGTTCAGACTAAGTTTTGTGTTGGCAGACGGCAGTTGGCGCGTCGGAAAAACCCGCAGAAAGTGCGACAAAAGTCGAACAAGCAGACTGCTCCTAAACATATATACCATATATATATATTGCATATATACATGCAGTACGTGAGTTTCACAGGTGCGAGTAAAAGAAAGGGGCAAGTATTGCCAAAAGCCACAAAAGAAATACACACGAAAAGCGATTTATATGCCTGGTGATATCTGCGAACAGATAAGTGCCAAACACGAAACCGTTTTTGGGGAATCGGGCCGGGAGTTTTTGGGGGCAAATCATAGCACATAGCTTACATATATCTGACTGAGCAGGAGTTGTTGTCTCTATAAATACCCGTCCATATGCAAAAACGACACGAAGCGGCGACAATCGATAAAACAATGCATAAACTATAAGTCCTTCGTACCGAGGCATCGACAGCGGCAGGCGTACGGCCAGCCATAAATGCCATTGGCATTACGTTGACAGCTCCGGAAAGCCCAGTAGTGTTGAGAGCCAGTCGTAAATAGTTAATAAGCCACTCGGGCATAGCCAAAGGCACAGGCACAGCCAGAACCAGGATGCATCTCGTCATAATGGCCGATTCGACCTACTTGCTAGTAATTCGCATCGTGTTCATTTGGAAGTTCATCAGTTTTTTAAGCCCTTTTATGTGATTGCTCTTCACGGCAGGATCGCAACGGACCCATCTCGCCCAGTTCGCCGGTCAAGACGCCCACATCGACCTCATCGAAGCCGGACAAGTCGGGCACGTCGCGCCCACCGAGTGCCACGCCCTCGAACAAATCAGCACCCAAGTCGCGCAGCGCCTCCAAGAATCGCTTGCTCCTCAAGACCCCAGAACCCGAGCCAGCCAAGAAAGGTAACTTTGGTTGAACCACTACAGCTCCAATCCCTAAAAACAACAAGTTAAAAAACAATGCGGACTATTAATATGGATATAGGTCTTAGAATCAAGTCGTTTTCAATACTTTAAAATCAAATGTTAATTTCGAGCCCTGAAAAATAACCATCAAAAACAAAAACTGTGGTTAAGAAAATTTAATTTTTGGTTTTAATGAAAAGGAATATTAAAATTAAATTATATAATAAAATAACTTCATTAGCTTTAGTGTAATATTGTAGTAGACACTTTGAAGTCATTAAATTGCACATAAAAAACCTGTTTTTATTAGGTTATTAATCTTATAGATTTACTTTATGAGTTTTAGGATCTAATTAATTATCATATTATAATATGCGACAAAAAGGCGATCACAATTGTTCAGAAATCAAATCAATTGATTCCAAAGACTTATGTGGATAGAAGAAATACAAAAAGAGTGTTATTACTATAAGTATCTTTTATATTTCGAGATATGTAATACTTGCTTCTCTTGTGTCCCACCAGTTCCAATGAACAAGGTACAAGTCGGACATGCGCCTTCGCCCAACCTGAAGGCTGTGCGCTCCAAAATCGGTTCCCTGGACAATGCCACCTATAAGCCGGGTGGCGGCCACGTGAAGATCGAGTCCAAGAAGATTGACATCAAGGCGGCACCGCGCATCGAGGCCAAGAACGACAAGTACATGCCAAAGGGCGGCGAGAAGAAGGTATGCTTGTTGCTTGTTGTCCATCTGTCGGACGGAGGTTTTATCCACGGGCGGGACCGGTGTATCCATACAGTGCATATTTTCTGGGCTAGCCCGGGATCATAAATCTTTGTAAATTTCTCTCATCTACAAATGGCTTTTACAAATGTGCAGAGAAAAGCTCTCTGACCAAAGAAACGTAAAGTATAGTCGCGTAATGTAAAGTAAACTATTGGCAAAACTAAAATGCAATTTCACGGTCGATTTGCGATTTGAGATATATGCCCATTATAGATGGGCAGTCGGCAGCACGGTATCTTGTATCTTGTATCTCGTAATTCGTATCTTGTTGTAGGAAATGCAATTACCAATCCGCAGCGACACTTAGCAGCATAATTCCGTTGCCTTATGTAGCGTATTCCAAACCCATCCGCATCCGCATCCGCACTGGATGTGCCATAGTTGGGTGCGACTCTGACATTGACGCGGAGCCATCATCCCATCCGATCGATTCTAACTTTGGCTTATAATTGTTTACCTACCTTGTATCTATTTACAAACTTACGACCATCGAATCCGCACACACTCGCACCACCAATTACCACCAAAAAAAACCAAAAACACTGCAAATCCGTAGATAGTTACAACCAAGTTGCAGTGGAATGCGAAGTCGAAAATCGGTTCGCTGGAGAACGCCGCCCACAAGCCAGGAGGTGGGGACAAGAAGATCGAGACCCTGAAGATGGACTTCAAGGACAAGGCCAAGCCGAAGGTGGGCTCCACCTCCAATGTGAAACATCAGCCAGGTGGCGGTGATATCAAGGTATTTAGTTCCTCTTTCCATTCGTGACCTTTCACCCCCCAAAACCGATTTCATGTTTGAGTTTGACCCAGAGACGTGAACGAGTTCATATACTGTATATTGATTTTTGTAGTGGTTAAGTATGATTTCCGATTGCTGTTGGCTTTTGTTGGTTTTTGGATGTTCCACTTAAGTTACCAACTGGCATGGGCATGGGCATGGGCCGCATCTGTTCTATCTATATGTTTCTCTCAGTGCATGAACTGCAATGTTCTCTTAGTTTTAAACAGCATGCTGTCACGTTTGCCGACCTCCCCTCGAAGGTTATCAAAATCAAACCATTTAGAAAATAAAACTAAAACCAACTAACACCCAGAACACCCAACATACCAAAACCTTAAACCGCTTTCCAGAACTACGATAGGAAGATGAACATCATCTATGGCGAGGGCTCGAAAATAGTCAGCCATTGCGCCAATAACAAGCGCCTGGATCAGAATTTGTATAATGAGGAGGAGTAGTGATTTAGTTTGGGTAGGTAACACCCGTCAGATGTACATATACCCGAATCGAATTTTGGTGCTAAAACAAAAAACCCACACACCTAGCTTAGTTTTTGGGTCAGCATTGTAAATATCCAGTATTCTCGAGGAGAGCATTCTGTTTAGTTCCTAACCATACCGAAAACCACTCTGAATAATTGAGAATAACTTATTGTTTTTCCATCCTTATTTTAACGAACCGAAACATGTTTAAACCATATTTGGGAAAATGTATTTTGTTTTTAACTAAACCATTAAAACCACGAATTCAAAGGATAACAACCCCAAGGATGTAAGTAGTCGTGATAACTCTTTTTCCTCTGTGTACTAAGTGTGCTTTTGTATGAGACCCTAGATGCATCATATATTTCCTATTTTTTTTGGTATTTTTGGAACACCTAAGCATTCACTTTTTGAGATCCCCAATGCACCACACTCTGTAGCGTATTGTTTAAACCGTTTACCCTTTATTGTTATCCATCTGTTATGTTATGTGCTCTGCTGTTTCAGTGTGCGAAAATTCCAAATTTCAGTTGTGTCCTCGATTGGCCGTTGTCGTTCGTGTGTCCTTAATAACCCACCCGCAAAGTCGAAAACCTAATCGAAATTGCCCATTGCATAGCCGAAAATAAATCCAAAATACGATCTTGCTAATTGTTTTCTGTACGTTGCCGGTGCCGGTGCTACTTTTCAGATCCAAACGCAAAAACTAGAAATTAAGGCACAAAGCAAAGTTGGCTCTTTGGATAATGTAAAGCACAAGCCCGGTGGCGGTGAGAAGAAGATTTTCGATGATAAGGATTATTTGAAAAATGTTGAACACTCTGTTGCACTGACAACACCACCAACACAGGTAAACTACGTGTACATAAGCTCAATGTAGTTACGTATGAAAGCTAGAGTTAAACCTTAACCCTGATTTATTATTAGCATTTTAATTTCCTTACGAAAGCAACTAAAAGTAATCAGTACAAGTATTTTACATACATATATATATATATATATTAAGGATATCCCTTTTTGTGTTTACGTCGAGAAATTCATTTTTTATGTATATTTGTAATTGTAATTGATTGTGTTGCATTTATGATTAACACTTTATAATTTACAATCAGCAACTAACAGAGCACCACACACCCCCCAAAAAAAAAGGCCCACACAACAACCAACCACCCACAGACACCCACCCAACCTGAACCGCTTTCAGAGAACTCCCACCAAAAGATCAATCCGTTCATGGGGAAATTGTATTCAGTAAGAACTAACATTTGGACAAAGTATTTTGGCACTCTAACTCTTAGGTCTTGAAATGTATGGGCGGGCATTTAATATGTTTTAATTTTGGAGGTGCCATAGAGATTATTGTGGCACCTAAAAGTATTTGTTATCGTTGGTTTAGTTGTTCAATAATATTGTTTCCTTGGTTTGGTTACTATTGGTTTACTTTACATTTAAAAATGAATTTCTTTCAAACTCAAACTGAGATTCATTGGCAAAAGCGCTTTCCATCCATGTGTTCCCGAAGTGTTTGAAGTTTTTACACGCAATTCTCCTAACTATTCTCTTCTCTTTCTTTCTCTGTTCCCCCTCGCTCGCTCTCTGCCACCCCGCCGGCTAATTGTAGTTTGCGGCTCAAGGGCGCTTGATTGCCACGATCCACCTAGAATTCGGTCTATGTAACTCAGACTGTGTGTGTAACAATATATTTGAGTCGCTTTTTAAATGAACTCCCTAGCTTTAACTAAGACATCCATCAACTACTGTACTGTACCTTATGCCAAACGATTTAACTGATGCAGGACTCAACCGAAAGAAACTAAACTAAACTAAACTAAACACAACCCGAACTCAACTAGAAAAGCTCAAACCGAAAATCTCGAATGAGTTTGCAAGAGTTTCTATTTTAAATTGTAACCGATATATATGTTTATGCATTCTTCAATGGTTTAGTCCTTGAAAGGTGTATAGATACTGTAAGCTGACCTGCCCCTGAGCAATTCGCCACAGAAAAGGATGAAATTTAATCTGAACCCTAGGACACTGCTCTTGGGCAAGGACAGTACTGCCCAACCAGAGGGCCCGATGTTTGTTAACTCCTTTAGTATGTAGCGAATATCCTTTAACAAAGTATTATTTATGGCAGACGGTCAACAACCTTACACTACTTAGGATAGTACAAATTTTTAACAATATACTGATCCGCAATTGCTCAAAGTGCCCAGAAACCCAGACTACGACCACACAAAACGGTTTAGCAGAAGGCTGCCCAGCATTTAAGTCATCTTACAACAGTGCTTTGCTCTCTCACACTAAAACAAAATACCACTCAATCATTGACCCCATACTCACATAAATTTTTAATTACGATTAATTATGAATTATTAAATGTTCTTCATTTCTGTGTTTAATGCCTCTTTTTCGTTTATTTTAGGAATATATATACAATTTTTATTAGGCTAGTCGTACGAAACTAAGTGCATTAAATTCGAAATTCGTATACACGTTACGTCCATTAGAGTTATTTATCGCCTATTACTATATAACTACTACATCATATACTCGAAATCCGAATGCGATGCGGTTTTAACCAAATATAGAAACATTCGATCCGATCCGATCCAATTCAATTCGATTCGGTTTGATCAAGCAAGCCCCGTAAGTTAATGTTCGTTGCGAGTTCTTCTAAGATGTGTCCGTTTCGTATATAGATAGTTATATATACCTAAATATTTAACAGTGCTGTGATAGACTAACCGAACCGAACCGAAGCTAATTTTCCAGACGAGATCTGCATCCATACCATACTATATAGAGCCCCGAAACGGTTTCATGGGCATTTGCTTGCGACTCCCTCGTTTACTCCACCGCTCCATTACAACCAACCAACTCATGACTCTAACTTCTAACAAGGCTTTTGGTTTACCTTTTATTAGATTACCTTATGATTTGTGCAATCGATACGCATTCACGTTTATATTTTTATCTTGAACGCAGAGTCCACTACCATCCATGACGGCTTCTGGCGCTGATGAAAATTTAAATCAACAAAGCTAAATGCCCGAAATGCATGTCGAGCTGAATCTTTCTTTGCAATCTAAGATCGAAAGTGAAAAATGAACTTTGAACCAGCTAATTTGAAATGTACTATCTAAGCAAAAGCCACACAAAGCAAAACGAGAGTTATGCGATAATTCCCACACACCCTCACAAGCCAGTTAAAAAAAAAGATCAGAGCAATTCGATAGAGGTGCAAGCACGCAATGAGATGCAGATACTCAAAAAATCTACACAAGCACCCACATAGAAGCGGTATTTGGTATACAAAACGAAAGTATATTTGACTAGTTGAGCAATGCACTCTTTATCATCAGATACAAGACATAAATTATATATCTCAATGTATTACCAGAACTTCATACATATATACATACATACAAATAAAAAAATATATATACATAAAAGTATCTAAATATTTAAGCAAATTATACAAGAATCGTACGAATAAACGGTGTGCTTAGTTGAAAATGTTACACTTGACGTCTAAATGTTAAACGACTAAGATAATGCGACCCATTGATTTGTATACACTTTAGATACTTTTGCGACGAACAAAAGCAAACGACACCAAACAGAACCGAACCTAACCGAACCGAACCGAACAGTTAAATCCACGTATAAGCATATTTTTACTATTAATTTGTATCTTATTAGTCAAGCGCATCATTCTCACGATTTATTTACACCCTGTTACAAAATGTAAGAACAATGGCAAAATTTAAACATAATAAAACAAACAAAAAAAACGTTTTTTCATTTACCAAATCTTGGCGTTGTTGCACTTAGTTTTTGAATTTCAACAGCCACTTATCGTAACCGTATTGAGATAGACAAAAAGCAAATTTTGGAGATACTCGAGTATCTTATTTGGCAAACCACGCCCACGCCGCAAGCGTTCCAACAAAGCCACGCACGAGCACACATCCTCTTCTACCTCATTGGATGCATTGGTAATCGAAACAAATAAATTTGATCAAGCAAATTAAGTAAGTCTCCATCTCAATCGAGCTATGACAACTATTTTTGCATCTCTCCCACTTGGCAATGTAAATCGTTGTTGTTTGCTAAGAACTCTCTTTCGCATCCCCGCAGTATTGGAAGGCGCCGCGCATCCAACGGGCCACCACACTCACCTCGTCCATGTCCCTGCCGGCGGAGTGCCTGGTCCTCTCCGTGTCCATGCCCTCGCTCAACTCGGAGCCCAAGCGTCCCAAGAGTGCGGGTCCCAAGAAGAAGCCCGGCCAGGCCGTCCACACAAAGCCATTCCGCCTGTATTGAGCTGAGATGACTTCCGCCTAGTCTTCGGCAGTCCACGGAGCTGCTCCACATGTTGCACGAGACGTCACCCAATCGAAGCACAAGTTGATATCTAGGCACGCACTTCTAAAAAAAAAAAAAAAAAAAAACATACATACGCAGAATACATTTTATCAAACCGTTGATTGTTTAGAACCGAAAAACGAAACGTGGCATTTACAACAAAATAAACGACTAACTGAGAGGCAAAGTTAAGCACAAAATGCAGCCGGTTTTTGTTTCTTTAAATAATTACAGTATATATTTTCGTAAGTATTAAATCAGTTTTACAGCTGCTACATCTCTGGAGCCAAACGGCCTTCGTTTACGTTTCATTTACATAAGACTTGCGTTAGAATTATTTATATATGTATAATTAGTACAAAAATTGTCCTGGGATTTCGTTACGTCTCAACTTTATCAGCTTGCTCTTTGTATTTTTTGGAAAATTGTGTGATTTTCTTGGTTTCTTTAGGTTTTTTATTCGTTTTGATTCTTGTTTCTTCGTTTATTCGAGTCGCGTCACATTTAAATGCAGCTGGTTGCCCTTCCATTTACATAATCCTTTTGCTATACCTACGCCGTAAAAGTTGTTTATACAATTCGTTTTAAAGTTAGGGTAATAAATAAGTCATTATAAAATAATAAACAACAGTTGTTACATTTTCAAAAGACATTGACAAATGAGCTTCAAGTGATTATGATAATGATTCGAGGGTCGAGTTAGATTAAAAAAAAATGCGCATGCTTGAATATTATAAAAGGTGGCTTTCTCTAAGAGCTTGTCGTCAAGTGAATTGGCCTGGTTTCAGTTTTGGTAAGCTTCAGCTCATGGCTACATAACTATAATACATTTAATGGGAAATTAGGAAAAGCTAGATGCTCGTGATATGCGAAACCAATTTTTAGCTGCGAGTTGGCTGCGGTTCATATAATTTTCTCTTTTTGCTTGATACTATTAGTACAATACATTCGATTCAATTGACTAGATTTCTACATATGTAGCTGCATTAGATTTATGATTTCTCTGTGGTTCCGAGTTTGTTAACGATGTGGTTTCAGTTTTTGCGGGAGGGAGTCATGGTGTGCCGAAAGACCGCAACGATCCGCAAAAGAATCTTTAAAACCAACGAGAGAATTCACACGAATTCTGATGGCAATATCCATCGTTGCTATAGAGTTTTTTACGGGGACCGTTTAGGGCTTGTTGCATTACGAGAAATTTGAAACTTTTATAAATAAATTTATGTTATTGATTTGTTCGATGCGGGCGCTGCATGAGTGTCTATGTGTGCCGGACGTCGCGCCGGTGTACGTGTCGCTTCCGAGGAATCTTTTTACTCTGTCAAAGCCAATAACATGCTACCTTATTTACATAACTAAACACTTTCGCTGGCGTCGTTTTAGCGGCTCTGGTCTGAGCACCGCGCGCACCGCTTCCTCGAACACCTGAATGCAATCGGAGTGGGGGAATTAGTGAGAGGTGGGTGTGCCAGCTGCGATGACTTACCGGCTTGAGGCCGCGCTGCGTTAAGGCGGAGCATTCCATGTATTTCACAGCGCGTATCTTGTTCGCCAGCTTCTGACCCTGCTCGCGCTTCAGCGGCGTCAGCCCCTGCTCGGCCAGACCGCTGAGTGTCTCTCGATCTTCGCGCAAATCGATTTTAGTGCCTGCAATATGACCAAAAAAAAAAATATATATATGTACTCCCCCTTCGGTGGCTTCACATCGCTGGCAACTTACCAACTAAAATGATGGGCGCGTCGGGGCAGTGGTGCTTTATCTCCGGATACCATTTCGAGGTGACGTTTTCGAAGGACGAGGGACTCGCCACGCTGTAACATATCAGGAAAACGTCTGTCTGCGGGTAGGAGAGCGGTCTCAGGCGGTCATAGTCCTCTTGACCCGCCGTATCCCACAGTCCCAGCGAGACCTGTATTGTGTCCACTTGCATGGGCGCCGAGTAGTTGTCGAAGCTGTGAAGATATCATAATAAAAATTAGATATTGATCTGGGTTGTGGGAGAGAGGAGGCAGATACTCACACTGTGGGCACATATTCGCCGGGAAAGCAGTCTGTCGTGTAGGAGATTAGCATGCAGGTCTTTCCGACAGTGCCGTCGCCAACAACAACACATTTTATGGGCCTTCCGGTTGACATCGTGAGTGCTGAGTGTGCCGCTAGCTATATACTGTATGTGCTGTGGGCAAAAATACGATGGAAGATGAATGTCTTCGCCAGCTTAATTCAATTAATTAAGTTCTACTCGAGGCAATAAACTCGGCAGCCCCAACTGACCGCACATTTGTATACAGTCTAGCTTCCTTTAAATGATCGGCCATTTGTTTGTAGTTAAATATATATTTATATTTCCTATATAAATTTTAAATTATTTGTCAACGGGCAATCGGATCTTCTTTAATTAAGAGGGTAAGTAAACAAGCCATAAATATAAAAATATTTGGTCTTCAGCATAAATTCAATGCAAAAATAAAAAAATTTGGTAATAATAAGTTATCCGACATTTAAAGGAGTATAAAATACATTTTTGTTTAACATATCCTATGTATGTGACAATTACAGGACAAACTTATTTAGATAGAAATTCTGTTTAAGAACTTTTGAAAAGAAATTAGTATGAAACCTAGCAAAAAATGCTATTGGCACTCAGTTTTGTGAAGTATTCGAGTTAGGGGAGTTACACTGTATATAGTTTAATGCGAGGGTCTCTGGTATATCTTTGGGATGATCAAAGGCAGGGCTCTCGAAAGGTGTGTTCCGGCCGCAAAAAAGAAACCAACCACAGGCAGGCCCATAAAGCATAATAAAACGAGAATCTCATTTCGGTTGCGGTGGCACTTTGTTTTCGCAAATAAAATTTTCAAAAATAGATCATGATGGGCGACACAGACTGCGGCACAAAAAACAACTAAATAAATGGGAACAGCGGACCAAATGGCGACCGCCCCTCCAGTGGCGCAGTGGGCGGGGCCGGACGAATGTTGTGGTGACGCGGAAGCCACCGGCAGACGCACAAAACCCGACCGAAAATAGACACAATTAAGTTCTCATAACCGATTCAATTAAAGTTGCGCCACATGCAACGAGAGGGCGTGGCAGGGGCCAGAGGGGTTGGAGAGTCCGGAAAATCTTTTGTTATGGCACAATATCGAATGGGGAAATATTGTTTTACCGTTTTCACCTCCTCTATCCTTTTCCTTTGTCTGGCAGGCGGCGACTGTTTTGTACTTTGCTTATATCACTGTGCGTTTCGTTGTTTCCGCTTTGTTTCGGAGCGCCGGCTCATGCAGCACGGCCAAATAATAGAATTGCACTATTTACTTGCGATTTTTACTTATAAATATCTGTTTGGGGAACAAACGCAGCGTTTCGAGCAATTTTTTATCTTTTTGTTTCCACACAAACACACACCCACCTTTTTTGACAGCTCGGCGTCTCTCTCGCTCTCTCGCGGCTGACAAGCAGTGTTCGAAAGGGCCGTGCAGAAAAACGTTAATTTTACGTTGCACAACACTACTCATGGGTGTAGACTGAGCTGGGATGAGTATTAAGAGATATATAAAATAATATTTGCTATATCCGTAATAAAAAAAAACGTTTATCTTAAGAGAAATATAAAATACAAACTAAGGAGATTTCTACTGTTAAGCTGCATATGTATTTATTCCCCTAAATATGTGTCCCTTTTAAAAACTGCTGCTGACTACGCCACTGGCACCCTTTATCACAGCTGTTGTTCTTTGGGCGGCGTAATGAGCAGATTTGTTTGTAAACTATTGAACTGTTTAAGCCAAACAAATTCGGGTTGCAGATACCTTTCCTTGTCGGCTTTTAGAAATCGAGAAAGTGCATCTCAAGATGGGGCTCCCGCCCGTACAGTGCTGGTCGAAAAAGATTCTCATATAACTTTAATAGGCCTAAATCGCGAGCAGCAGCGAAATTCCATTGATGCCAACACTGCGGAGCAATTAACAGAAGCCATCAGCCAATTCGAAGAGGATGACAGTTCCCCTGTGGGCGTACTCTATGGCATAGGTGGCTCCTTCTCCGCCGGCTATGATTTGCAGGAACTGGAGGCAGAAACACAGCGCGGCAGCCTCAACTTTCTGTTGCGTCACGAGGGCTCCATTGGACCAACTAGGCGGCATCTTCGGAAGCCAATTGTCTGCGGTATCAGCGGATTCTGTGTGGCTGGAGGAGTGGAACTAGCCCTTATGTGTGATCTGCGGGTGATGGAAGACACTGCCGTATTGGGATTTTTCAATCGACGGCTGGGAGTCCCTCTGAGCGATGGAGGAACTGTTCGATTGGCCGCTGCAGTGGGTTATTCCAACGCCTTGGACATCATTGAAACAGGAAGACGCATCTACGCCGGGGAAGCCAGGCGCATTGGCTTGGTGAACCGCGTTGTGGCCACGGGCACAGCTCTGGGACAAGCAGTCAATCTGGCCTTCTCGATAGCCAAATTTCCCATGGCTTCGTTGATGCACGACAGAAATGCTCTGCTGGAGAATGCCAATGCCTACAACAAACCGGGTTTCCATGTGGCCAGTTACAACGAGATCATGAACGTCACCTCAGACATGATAACAGACATGCAACAGGGCGTAAAGCGCTTCAAGAATTGTGAGTATAATCTTGAGTATCACCCCCGTGGATACCACTTCAATTCATTAATATAATACTTCTTTTTGTAGCTGAGATAAAGGGCGCTAAAACCGATTCGTGGCACATCAAGGAAAAAAGCATTCCAGATTGGGAAAAAGCCGAGATTGAGATCGAAAGGAAAAATCAAAACACATGACAGAGCACCCTTTGATTTCCCACTGTAATCTCCTGGTTAGTTGCAATTATTGATTGTTATTTATAAAACGAAAGCCTTTATTCACGTAAAATACATTTATTTAATGATTTATGTAGTTGACCGCCTAAATCGTTTACGACTCGTGCTTATTTCCATATTCACAACAATTACAATAACGAATTTTCCTTGAAATTAAGCCTAACTACCAAAAAGAGTTGAGAGGAAAAGCACAAAGTTCTGTATTCCTTGCTGTCGATCGATTCAACATTCACAATTAGTTTACACATATAAAAAATATGCTAGCGTCAAGTAATCGGACTTGTCGTCTTACTTACAATGAATTTTTCGAGTGCTGGGCCAAGCGGTTTGCTGGTTTCGCCAATAGATCTTAAAGTCTAAAAGTTAACGAAAGGAGTTTATTGCACTTAAATCGAGTAAAGCGAGAAACCAAGCTCTTTGCAAAAAAGGCTGCTCTTGTAAAAACAAGTGTTAAAAACTGACTGATCGTTAATCGTGCTATAGTAGTTTGATTTAAAATACTCGTAATTCATCGTCTACGCCTAACATTTACACTCGGCTACACTTAATCCAAAAAATTTGTCATACAAATATTGCACAAAAATGGATCGGACTGTGAGTTTGCACACCCATGTGCTCGCACTCGTATTTCATTGTGCTGCACATGGCAAAACCTTCAATCAAGTGGTGGTACGTGTTCACATACATAATCACTAAAGTACGGTATTCGGAAACCTAAAGACCACAATACATATACAATATATACAAATGAAAAGACAATTTTCGCTAATCGTCCGTCCCACCGTATCTGGTATAAAAAATATATATAGCGTAGGCCAAAAAAGCAATTGCTGCATTCAGCTGGCGACATTTTTGAGGAGCCATGCACGTCGAAGATGCGATGCGACACGAAATCTGATCCCTCGATCCCCGATTACTTAAGTCGCTGGGTCACATTGGCCAGGGCCACGGCAAAGGCCTGGAGGGCGGAGAAAGGATACTGGAAATCCAATGTGTAAGCGTTGCCATCAATGCGTCCGAATTGCATAACCTTTTGGGGGAGTTGGGATATTAATTATGTAGACTTTAACATCTATTTGAGATGCTGCACTCACCTGCTTGCCTCGAAACTCGATTTGAAAGTTCTTGGCCGACTCTTGAGTAACGCGACCACCAAAGTCCAGCTGGTACACCTGGCTCATCTCATTCCACATGGGCGCCTTATTGTGCATCACAAACTCACGGCGCACTGGCGCCGGATTGGCGCAGCTGGCACTGCCATTTGGTTCGATTTTGCCACGCTTCAGCTGAGGATAAAAATTTTTCCATAAAAATAATACAATTTGTACTTTAAAATTTCAACCAATTGTTACAATGTTTTTTTTAATTGAATATAATTTATAGGAACAAAAAAATAATTAATAATAATAATAATTAAAAAAATAATTAAAAATAAAATAAATTTTTTCGAAAAGGGTTAGATCAAACGACTAAAATAGCTCTCAGTTTGTTTGCATAAACTTCGAGATATAGTAATGGTTAACTTATTTAAATGAAACGTTGAAATTTTGTTAAAATTTATTAGCGATATCTTTTAGCTGTCATTTGAAAGTTTAACAAATTCAACGGAAAATTAAAATAGCTTCATTGTTTTTGAATCGAACTATAGTTTTTTTATAGATCATTTCATTTTTGTAATAGCAGCAAGGTTATATAATCTTTGGCTTGGGAAAGTTGTCTTCCTTTCTTGGTTTAAAGTCTGTCGAGTCAGAATAAAAATCCTTTAACTTTGACCCACCTTTTGACGCAGTTGGGCCTTTTGGAAGGTCTCCAGGTCGCGATACTGCTTGCTGTTGCCGGCGTTGTTGCTCTCCTCGCCAGAGCCATTGGTCTGGTTGCCCTCATCATCAGAGCTCTCGATTATACTCTGCTTCTTGCGCTGACGGCGGTTCAAAAGCGGTGAATTCAAAATGTGGCGAATGGGGGAGTTGCTCTGCTGCCGCTTGTTCTTTTTGCTGGCAGCCGGCGACGCTGGAGAACTACGTGGCAGTCGCTGTGGGGTGGATGGAGGCGTCAGGCGACCCTCGTCGAGGTCACGAAGACGGCTTATTATGTTCTCCAAGGTGGTAAGGGCCTGAATGTTTAACCATATAATTTTATAATTTTTTTTTTTAATCTATATAATCTACGTACCTGAGTGTGCAGAGAAACTGATGCCTTGGCCTCCACTGGTGTGGCCTCCACAGTGCCACAAGCTGCTCCCGTAATCTCTGGCTGCTGTTGCCTCTCCAAAGTGCTGGCGTTACTGGAGCCGTTCACTTGCGACTGGGTTGGCTGTTCTTTGCGCCTCCAGCGAACCTCGGACAGCTGCTTTACAAAGCTAAATCCATTGTCCTGCTTCCTCCCCAGCAGCGGAGTGGAGTTTTCGGTGCCAGCCGTCTCCTTGCTGCGTCCGATTCCAAAGCGATGCTTTCTCGTAAAGAGTGGCGAGTCCGTGAAGCTGGTAATGACATCGAAGCGTTTCTTGGGCACTGGCTTGGCCTGCACGCTGGCCACCGGAGACTCCTTGGCCGGATCCACCGTGGACGTGGCTACTACAGACGTAATCTCATCCAGAACGGGAACCGCCGAGGGCTGGCATCGCTTGCAGGCACTGCTGGGATTCATGTTGTTGCGGCACTTGAAGCACAGTGTGTTGGCCGCACTGCTGCAGGCGCTGCTGTCGGAGATCTCCTGCAGCTTGCGCACCACCTGTTCGTGCTCCTTGCTGGACAGCTTTGTCTGCAAGGACAGCAGGTCACAGGAGTCCAGACTCTTGGATTTCCCAGTCTGCTGCAGTTTGTGCCGCCGCGCATCCTCCTGCTGCTGCCGTTTCCTGCGGTTCCTGCGCTTGTCCACCAGTATCAGGCGCTTGTTGGGGGCATCTTTGCGCAGGGCAGACAGTGCCTCGTCGGAGGGCGTGATGGCCACCGAATCCAGATAGCCCACGCTGCAACTGCGTGTGATGGAGTCGGGCAAGGCCGGAGCTATCGACACCACCGTTGGAGTGCGCTTCATGCTGCTGCTGCACGGCGTGGGCGCTGGCGACTGCGTCTCCTCATCGATGTACAGCATTTCACGACGCTTGGCCGTGGAGGATGTGGTGGGTGCCATGCACTTTACCCGCGCATCCATGCGCTCCAGATTCAGGTTGAGATTCAGCGGCACCGGATTGACATGACTGTTGGCCGAGCGCACTGGCTCCGACATCAGGGCATTCTTCACCTGGACCACATTGTTGGCATAGTCCGCATTGCTCGAGTAAGACATCAGGGTGGTCTGCCCAGCGGCGGGCACAGCCGGACGCTCGAAGATGATGTCCGAGGGAGCCACTGCATTCTTGGGACTCTGCAGCGTGGGCACTGCTCCATCGCAGTACAACGGCGAGATGGCATGACGCGACTGGCAGCTGGAATTTGAGCTGGAGCGGCTGTAGCTGTTCTTAAAACTGCTGATGGTCTTGGGCCGTGTAATGGTTTTACTGCTGCTGGGCCCCGAACACGAACCATTCGAGGGAGCCTGGTGCAGCAGGACAGTGGTGGACTGGCAGGCAGCAGCTCCCGCCTCCTGCGATTCATTGGATGAATCATCATCGTAGCTCTCGGCTCGCGCCAGAGGACTTAAACCCGCCGAAGAGCCGGACCCCCTTTCTACGCCATTCACAGTCAAGGAGTTCTTGTGCCGTGCCAGGATTCGATTTGGACGTGGAGACATGGGTGCTATCAAGGGAGCAGACGCGCCATCGGTGAGGCGACGCTGCGGTATTATCGGAGGCTTCAGGGAAGCCCCATCCTGAGCGGTGATCACATTGACCAGCGGCACTGCATCGTGGTGATTGCCCTGGTGGTGCTGGTGATGCTCGTCCTCGTCCTCGGAGAATATGTTCGGATTGAAGCTGGGATCGGGACCAGGTGGAAAATCGTCGCGCAGCTCGGTGATGACCAGCGTCATTTGGCGCGGCTGCAAATGCAGTAGGGACGTCTTATAAGTTACTTGGCCTAAGTTGGCTGGGACGGTTTTGGCAAGTCCATGGATCTTGAACTTGGTTCCCCATATGTTGGATGTCACCTCCACCAGCTTGACTTCCTGCTTGAGAAAACGAAAGGAATCAGTGATGGCGTGGATCTTCTCTGGCAGAGAATGACACCTACCTCCGGCAGTGTGTCCACATATGCCAGTTCATCCAGGCTATCGGGATCGTTGGCTCCTCCGCCGCCGGAACTACTCAACCGATCGCCCGCTTGGTGGCGTCTCTTGGGTCGCACTCGCTTCTTGCGAGGAGTTCGCGGCGAGCCAAAGCGAGATCTCTCCTCGTAGTCACTGTCCGAGGAGTCAGTGCGTCCACTGTTGCCCGTGGTGGTGGACTGGCTGGAGCCCGACGAGCTCTTTGCCTCGGCGGAGTATTGAAAGTACAAGGGGGCATCTAAAACAGGTTTTTACATTTAATTGTATTGCACCTTTATTTACTTTAGATACCCACCATTAACCTGGGGATCGAAGATAACGAACTCGGGACGAATCTTGGAGGTGCGTTTGCCCTTGAGCAGTGGTACCAGTCCGCCCAGGTACTCCAGATAGAGCGTGTAGCATGTGCCGGAGCTCAGGTTGGAGTCGTCGTCGTGCCGGATCATGGTGCAGTGCAGCCGGGTGGAGCAGAGCGGTGGTCGCGAAACAAAATCACGGAGCGACTTTAGGTCAGGTACACAGCACTACCAAAAAAGAAATTGCAAATATCATTAATTAATAAATCCTTTATTATTTTTGGTATCTAAGCATATGTGTATACTTAATTTTCGTTTCTAAACCGTGGTATTTTAAATAATAACACAAAAAATGATAGAAGAAAAATATTTTTCTTCAATTTATAAACGCTGTCAAGTATTGAAATCTTTAAATTGTGCCGCGACTTTCGAATTAAAAATGCGTATTTTTATTCTTCTACGTAAGTTTAGAATGCATAAAAGACCAAGAAGATTTTTTTTTGCAAAAAGCTAGTCTCTTTAAAATACGTTGACTATTTATCAATAAAATAATATACAACTTGATTCATAAACTAAAAATATTACAAGTACCAGAGCTGATAGCCTAGTTTATCATTATCAATTACAGATGAGCCTGCGCTAAACTATTGTGGCTTTCTGATATATTAACTGTTCTTCTGTTATATCATTTAAAAAAAATTAATTTAAAATCTATTTTTTAAAAGAGCACACAAAGTTTCGATGATAAAACCATATGACTTACTCTTATCGTTTGAGCAAACAGATTGCCAATGAGAGACTTAATCCTAGAAGGCAACGGCAGCAGTGGCAGCAGCGACTCGGATCCGACGCTCGCCTGGATCTCCAGCCGGCAGAGGAGCTGCAGGGAGGCCACCCGCCTGGAGACCCAGGCGATGTGAACCTGCGTCCCCGTGGCGATGAACAGCCGCTTGTCGTTGTGGCCCCAGGTGATGGCCGAAACGGTGGCACTGGTGCAGGGAATGTGTGCCTGATACAGGCACGTGCCCGTCTCCGTATAGAACTTGACCAGATTCGTGTAGCTGCTGGGCGTGGCCATGTCCTCTGGCTTGCTGCCATCCAGTCCGGTGCGAAGGGTTCCGGCGACGGCCAGCAGCTCGCGGGAGTTGCTCCACTCCATGACCATGCCGAGGGCGCCGTTAAGGCATGTGTTGATATGTGCGGGTGAGACGTCGTCGAACGACTTTAGCAAGTAGATGTATCCGTTCTGGAAGCTGACTGCCAGGACAAAGGAGCGTTTGGCTAATGGAATGCAAATAATTAAGGAATTTAGAGCTTTATTCATTGAAACTACTTAGGCAGATCACTCACCCGCATTGGTTACACCGGGCTCCGCCTCCTCGCCCTCCTCCATCTTGAACTTCTCGCAGGACCAGGCCATCGAGGTGATGGGCACATCGTTGGACAGCTGCACCTGCGACACCATCGCTCCGTGCACATCCATCACAATCACCTGGCCCTGGGTGGTGCCGAAGTACACCTGCTGGTCGTCGGGCGTCCAAATGCCGCAGGTGATTGTGGACTCCAGGTTGAGCATGGAGGACCAATACCGCTGGCCGGCCACGGATCCCACCAGAACGAAGCCATCCTGGTAGCAGATCAAGGCCATGCGACCATCGTGCGACCAGGAGAAGTGCGTGACCGGCGTATTCCGGTCGTTGATCAGCTCGATGGACCAGCGGCCCTCGTACTTGATCCACACAAAGATGATGCCCGAGCTGTCGCAGGAGGCCAGTTTCTGGTACGGCTCGTTCCATTTGACCAGGATGACCTGCCGGGAAAATAAAGGCACTAAATCCTTTTCTGTTAGGCGATCTATCCATGCAACTTACATCCGATCTGTGTCCGCGCAGGTTGTAGTTAGTCCTCAGCGGATAGTCCATGTTCTTGCGGCAATGCGAGGTCGTAAAGGTCACGCCCACAATGCCGCGCACATTGCCCGTGGCCAGCCATCCCTCCTGGTAGTAGTTGGTGCGGTTCAGCTTCCAGCCCTCGTCCTGCAAAAAGGAGCAAAAAAGGAAACCCGGTTAAAAAAGGATGTCCACGGCTGGTTGGCAGGTCGCCTAAGCAGTCGTCAATTGTGAGTCAAGTGCCCGTTTGCTGGCTTGTAAAATGGATTACCGCAGGCTCAACGCCCGGCCCTGGCCCATTCACACATTTCCACCCATCGACATCGACATCGACAGCCGGCCAGTTGGCTTGGCAAATATGCTCCACTTTGTGACTGCATCTCTTATTCTTTGAGCCGCTCAACCTGCCAGCTGCCTCTTTCACAGCCCGGGGCAAAGCATTTTCACATTTTCACTCAATTCTTCGGGTTCCTAGCAACCAGCAGGTTGATGAGGGTATGCCCACCATGGAGATTGGATAAGATATTTTACTGGATTTACAGCATCTTCTCTATTTAGCTTCATTAGGAGATTTATTCAACAAACTTGATAATAATTAGCAAAGTGCTTTGGTACTTCCTACATTTAATACTTTTATAATTACTGTAGAATATGTTGAAGAGATAAGATACTCCTAAATTCCATATTTAGTTTTGTTTTTTAAAAGTATGTCTGCTAAAGTTTGTAGAAATGTTTTTTAATTGCATATTGTTTCAATCCATATGGCTGTAATGTCAATTTTTGAAAGCAACTTTGAACAACTTGTGCAATCAAAACTAACAATCAACACGTACCGCAAAGGCAAAGGTAAATGAAAACTAGCGCTGCATTCCCTTTTGAGGAAGAATTGAAAGCAATTATGCCATCCAATTAACATTTCAAAAGCTTCCCTCAGTCGTCATCAGTCAGTCGAGCATTCATTCAACAACTTTTTACTTGGTTTGTTTGCCCGCTGCGTTGCCTTTCTCCCAGCGGGCTTTCTTTGGCACACAAACTCTTTGCCAGTTTATCAACTGCAGCAGCAGCTGCTGCACTGTGGCACTCAGCCGCAGTTCCAACCGGCAGCATCTCCTTCTCCTCTTGTTTTAAAATTTGATTTGATTGTGGCCGACTACCACCCACCACCCTCGACAATCCCAATTGATTGTTTTTTTCGTTATGGACTGGGCTGGGCTGCTTACAAAAGCTAAGCCTACATTTCGGCGCGCGCTTTTGACTCGGCGATAGGCGGCAGGAGCAACGAAAAATATTTCATTTTAAACCGAAAATTTCGGGCGCTTTCAGCATTCTGGCTAATCCCCCGCTAAGCCAAATTGCCACTTTTGGCGCCCAAATCCAATTTGCGTGGGGCATAAATTAAATTGCCGCCGCAGAGGCAAATACAAAAATGACAACAAAATTTGTAATTTCCGCTTCGGAGCGTTGTCGTAGTGGACCTTGCCGGGCGTCAGCGTCAGTCAAGTTAATTGCTTTATTGGCCTGATTGATTGGTGTGCATATGCTGATGTCCTTGCTGATTCAATTACATAATTGGACGCACACACTAGCAACCACTACCAGCAGCAGCCAGGGCGCAAATGTCGTTGAGGCCATCGAATGGCTCACTGCCTCGTTATGGCACAATCGAGAAAACGCCTCACTGCCAACAATTATGGGCTGGCATTCGGCATTTCTTTGTGGAGTGTTATTAACCTTTCACTGGGCCACTTGAACCGGATCTGGCCGCTGCGCTTGGCCAAAATAGATGCACTTGGAGCCACTCGAGAGCATTGGGAATTTCGCATTCAGATGTGCATGTTCGAAGGCACTTCAATTTAATAAGTATATCACGAACCAATAAATTGCTACAATGCTATCGGTAGAGCGCAAAAGGCAATTCGCTTGAAAAACACTGGGGAAAAGTCGGAGGCATTTGAATTAGTCAAAGTTTGCTTTAAGCATTCCAAATGGTTTAAATTTCCGTTTTCACTTTGGCTAATGTAATTTTCCTTAAACGCAGTAATTTCATTTGATACACACCAAGCATCAGCAGTAGCAACAGCAGCAGCATTAGCAGCAGCAGCAACAGCAACTAGCAACATCAGCAACATCAATGTCAAAGTTGCGACATCAAGGCAACGACGTTGACAGCCTCGCACTTTGGCCATGTCTTTTGCTCCTGCCTCAAAATGTTTAAGTGGCTACTTGTAACTTGTTAACCGTTTGGCGACGTTGACATCCTGCCTGCTGCATTCGCTTTGAAAATTACCTGAAAATCACTCGGTTTCCCCAGCAATATTTAAATTCGTTGCGCAAAACGTTATGGTGCATTCTGGCCCAAAACCAGCGGCAGATGCCTGCCTGCGATTATGCTGCAGTTGTGGCCGCAACAACATCGCCTCCATAAATTATGTTGCAGCCATTTGGCACACGAATCTGAATTGCGTTTTTGTGCTGCTCCATTTCGCAAACACACAGCAGCATACGCATTTAATTAAAAAAGGCCATTTTTAAGGCAAGCACCTGACTGACAGACTGACTGACCCCCTACATTTTTCCCCACTTGTGCACATTAACCATAATTGCAATTCATTATGCATGCCAATGGCAACCCGCGTCGCATTCGCATCCGCTTCATTATCCTCATGAACACGGCACTAATGGCCAAAACTGCGGCTAAACGGACAACTAATGCTAATAAGCATTTAATAAATGAAATATTTGGCTCAACGCTTTACAAGTGGCCATTAGAACATCAAAATGCTGTCATTTACCAGCCAAAATAACGTTAATAAGTTTAAAACGATAAGGTAGTTAAAGGGTCCTTTAACTTAAATTATTGTCAATATCGACTTAGTAATTATTTAGTAAAACCGTATGCTTTTAAGCTGAATTGGCAACAATGCTTTTTAATATATTTGCTACATTTATATTAACTTAATCATTTTATTTATTTTTTTTGTATTGGGGTCGTTTGTCGGCATAGTTTTGAAGTAAATTTAAGACGCCACTTTCTCCAAACACACACAAAAGGATCGACTGAGCACACTGACTTTTTTTTAAGTCCTAACAACCTTAAAACATTTTTTAAGTACTGCTTAATAAACTTAAAGATATATTTTTTTGAACAAAACATTTCAAATAAAGAAAAACCTACAGACAATCTATCAAATTATTGGATTTCAACACAAGCCTTGAATAGCTGGTATTTCATACAATTACTAAAAAACCTTGAATGAATTTTAGATCCCCCCTTGATAAAGTCAAAGAACTCTTAGGCAAAACAGTCCCCATATATATATATATATATAGAATCCAATCTATATATACGTTTCAATGAGCTTTTTTTGGGCCTTTTTGCAGTTAATTTTAAACGCCATCCCGAAGGTTGATGGGCTTATTTTCGGGGTCGTTGACAAAGAGTTCAAAGCATCGCCTGGAAAGCTATCAAATCCATTCGGGTCAAGTGCAGAAACAAATACAAACAACTTGGAAAAAAAAGAGAACTGCTCGATTGGCAAAGAGTTTCGAGAGCATTTCAATTTTTAGCTACTCGACTCGCAATCATTTTCTCTCGGCGACCCAAAGTGAAATTACGAAAAATAGCGACGATCCATCAGCACTTGGACTCAGTTGCCAAAGTTCTTTTGCGCGGCGCGTTCGAAGATCTCTCGGTTCCGTACGGTTATTTCTGAAAATGTTCCACATTCACTAAGTACCAAATTGAAAACAAAATCAAAAACCAACGCTGAAATGTACGCAAATTTGTTTTGGTCGGGGCTAATTGCCTGCCTAGTTTTGGCAAGAAGTGGGCTGTGTTTTGAGGCAAAACGCTTCTTTGGAGTGGGTGAGAGGATCAATGGAGACCAGCTCCTGGTCAAGGATGTGCTCCACTCTCGTCCAGCCGGTGTCGATGAGCTGCCCCGTGTGACGTTCACCTATGAAATTCAGGAGCCGATAACCTGCGTCGAAATCGTGTCGGAGGAAGTGAGTTTAAGCATCAAAAGTTTTGTTTATTGAATTGAGTATTTAAAATTGATTATAAAACTCTTCAACGATTTTTTTCCGAGCACAACATTTTTTTTAACCTTTAAATTGTTATACAAAATTTTATATATATTTTTAAAGCTTTTCTCTTTTTAAAAATCATAATTTTCATAAAAAAAATTAAAACATTTAAAAGCATTTTATCCGGCTTATCAAAACATTTTTTAGTTAATTTGTTTTAGCTATTTACCTATTTTATTTTTGGTTCACATTTTAGAAGTAAAAAAAAAAGTAATTTGTGTTTTAACAATCACCTTACATTTGATTTACTAAATTTTGTTACAGTTATTACTTATACGAACATAAAAAAACAAAAACGCAAATTGGCTAAAGCAAAACATGACTAAAACAAATATTTTGGCTTCATTAAGTCCGAAATTCTGTATTTTGGGTTGTGAACAAGTGAGCGATATGCACGGATATTATGTGGCTGGGCATTTGTCGCTGACCCCTTGTTGTGTTTTATTTTGCACATGCCCGTACCGAAAATAGAAACAGAAACTGACATTTCTTTTTTTTTTCGTCACAGCAGCCGACAACAAGTTTGGCCCATAGATGTATTTTTATATCCAGTGCGTTTGGGGCTGGCGGGCCTGTGTGTGTTTACTCTATCTAGTCGCCTAAATATTTTCATATTTTTTGTTTATTTTTTTTCCCTAAAATATGATTGGGTTATGGGCTTGCACAAGTGAGGCACGTAAAAGTTTGAGTGTTTCTTATTTATCGACATCTGGGTCGATAATTGAAAGTAAAATTAATGCAAATATTGTATAAGAAAATCGAATATTTCGAAGCCAATAATAATAAAATAGCGTGAGCAAATGTGGCAATTTGGCAAAGCCGACAAGCTTAATGGGCGAAGGAAGTGGAGGAAGGAGGAAACTGAACCGAGAACGAAAACGAATATTTAATATTTGTAGAATATCACGAAAGAAAATTTTGCTAAATGCAATTTCAATCTTAGCATTTTTGAAGGCAATTATGACGCGGGATTTTACCCAGAAAATATACAACTTTGGCAAAGTACATCAATGTCTGTTCACGAATCTGATTGTCAGCCCAAGTAAACATCTTGGGGAATGTGGCAATCGCTGATGGATGTTGCCGTAATGGTCACGCCTGATTGGGTCTGTTCAAATTGGAGGGGATTCGTTCTTATTTGGTTTTCCTTCGCATTTCAGAACATTTCGGCGGAGGTGAAATTCAGCTTGGTGAATCGCCTGGTTGTGGGCATGGTCCAATTGGCGGGCACTAATCAAAGCGATGACCCCACCCGAGAAGTAGCCACCGTTCCACCAACCGTCAACTTCGATGTGATCATCATGGTGTACGGCCTCAATGAGACCGCACTTAACTTTGATCAATCTCTGATCATCAATCGGGATCAACAATACGAGGGTGAGATGCAACCCTATGAGGAAATCTTCTCCGAACCGGATCAATACGTCGAGGTTTTCGACAACAACAGACGCGATGCCCTGGAGGTCGACGAGGAGATTGAGAATCTTAGCGAAGAGGATGACGAAGATGACGAGGATGACGAAACCTTCACGGAAGTTCCAACCCTACCAGATAATTTTGATAAACCGGACAAGATTATTGAAGTTGGAAACAGGCAGGATGGTAAGTTCAGAACGATATTGTTTGATTTAAACTAAAATTCCAGCTCTTAGGTGATCAACTTCTATATGAAAGCTATCAAACTTCGCCCGATGTATCGCAAAAACCCACTAACAACTCGGTGGTTTTCTACTATATCGACAACAACTCTATAACATATGTTAAGTTTGTTATTTTGGATGTAAGTATTATTTATCAATATTCAATATCTTTAAGATATATAAATTGGTATAATGTAGTGTAGTTTTATAAATATATTACAAGCCGTTTTTTTCTTTATAAAAAGAAGTACAAAAATTTAAAAGCTGTGGAAAGGTAAAATATTTAAAAACATGTAGATTTTACTTAAAATTTATATTTTCAAATAACTTATTCATAGCAATTTGAATTGTGATATTGGAATATTAACGGATAGCTATATTTCTACATTTCCAGCACCATGCCGACAGAAACATCTCGGATGCGGATTACATAGCCCCCGTGGCGGAGTACAGCCACTTTTCGAGGGGCACCCTTAAAGCCGTTGTTACGGACTTTCACTCCTTGAGCATATTTGTCCAGATGTACATCTACGGTTTCCGAGGTCGCGTGACGCCCGCCAACTATGTGCCCTTCCTGCCGCCGCCTGATTGGCAACGGAACCTGGACCTGGAGACCCGCACTCCCGGCCTGGAGAAGAAGACTCCGCACCTAACGCCGCTGCAGACGATGCAGCTGCTCCTGCTGACCGGACAACGGACCACTCCGCCACCAGGAGCCTTCAACGATAGCGGCGAGGAGCACGAGGAACAGCGGAGCATCCGGCCGGAGGAGATGGTGTTCGAGCAGATCGAGGATGAGCAGAACTCGGCCCTGCGTCAGATGGACCGGGGATTGGGGGCCTTGCTGGGCCTGCTCCTACTGATCCTGCACAACTAGAATAGTTGGCGGAGGGGGCGTCATTAGTTAATCCATGGAAAGCTTTATGAGTAGTCTTTAGTCCAACATTCTGTGTATCGTATTTTACCAAATAAACTTTTGGCCTAAGCCAGGGCACACATACAAACACACACACTCTTCCGCAAATTGAAAAAGTTGCGGCGAAAAGTAGGTCATGGCGTTGGCTTGGCCCCTGGCCGCTGACCCCCAACCCCAATCCCTCACTCAACCGCACCCACAAACACTCTCACATGCGCCACCCGTTAGCCCATAAACCAACTCCCTTGGCAAATTATCTGCGTCGGCGGTGGTTGATTTGGCCCGGCTGACAAAGGGAAAGGCGGAAAAACGGAGAAATGGAATAACGGAAAAAGTGGGAATCCAACTGACGACAGCGGCAGTCTTCCAAACCCAACCCAACCCAACCACCCACACGCCTTGGCGAATGTGTTTATTTGCTCGGACATTAAGTCAGACCCAAAAGTGTCCTTTGCCTTGGCAATTTATGTGCCTTGTATTTTGTTTCAACGCAGCCGAAAGAAAATAGCAAAATTGGAGAAGGGCAAATAAAACGTTGTAAATTCGAGAGTCGAAAAATCAAGAGTTCCACATACCAAATAATCCTTAAAGCGTTTCCAAATGTTTCCTAGGGGCTCCCGCTCCCCACATTCATATGACTTGTTCGCCCAGCGGTTGTCAAAGAAATCTAATAACTCTTATTTCAATTTCCGGCTAGCTACATTTACGTACATGTGCCAGTCCTGCGGCTGCAATGCCATTTCGTCCTTTGTTCCCTGTCGTTTGCAGATGGCAAGAAATACTTTCAAAACATTGTACAAAATACGTAATGCTACCTGGGAGTCTGCAGGAGGAGCAGTAAAAATGTCACAGCCACACAGGGAGACCAAGACGGAACCAAAGCGCCATAATGGCTTTCGGGAGGGAACAGGGTAGGACTGTCCAGCACAAAGGACATGTGAGTGAATGACTGCACCGGAGTTGGAGAGCTTCGCAGATTGGAATTTTACCGCAGCGTTGCACCCTAGGGCTTGGCCCACCCAACAATATTTATGTTTAATTTACAACTGAAATTTAACAATTTTTGCAACACTTGCCGGGGTTCCCACCGACAGAAAGTTTTGCAGTTTAAGGAAAAGCCGGCGCGTGGTGCCAGCTTGGGCGGAATTGAAAATTTCTTTTTATGCGTGGAAACGCTTGCAAAAGTTTTTATGCTCAGACATATAATTTTGGTATTATACGAGTGTATGTATATCATACACTGCGAAAAGCAAATATATCTAGGAATTTTGTATAATAAATCAATTATTAATTATTCTTAAATATGTGTTCTTGAAAGGGTTATTTAGTTTATACGCCAGTTTATCTACTATACAGACTTAGATTTATTATATTAAAAAAAAGAAAAGCTTTTTTGAAAAGATCCGGGATACAGAAACGACTTGTGTTTTGATTTAATTTATAAAAAAAAATAGCGTTTCGTAAGTATTAAAACTATATTATATATGGTTTTCTGCATACTCACCATTATAAATTTATTCAAAACCATTGTTATCTCTTTAGCACCACCCACTAATTAAATAAATATTATCATAATATATAAAGTTTATTATTACTAATTATATGTAATGTTCATTAAGTTAAAGTCTTGTTTAAGAGTTCTTCTTGTCAAATCCAAACCTTGACTATGCTCTGTAATCGGATAAATTACTATTTAACATTATAACAATCTTTTTTTTCTTAAGATTTTCATCACAGTGCTTGTAAGTGTGGTTGTGCAACAAGGCGTGGCATTGTAAACAATATGGATAAGCAGCGCACAAGTGTCGTCCGCCTCCAAGCCACTCTGCCCCCGGATCGCCGAGCACCAGGCCACATGGACTCAAGTCAATCCAAGGCGAAGCCATGCGCACCCAACCCAATCCAATCGCAATCCCAATGCCATGTCCCAGAGCAAACCAACCCAGAGCAAACCAACGCCATAAGGGGTGACGTGAGCTTTTGTCAATAACTTAATAACTTAAAATATGGTTTAATGCTCACGTAACAACATTTTGCCACTTGTGCCAAGCGCACGTAGGTGTGAAAGGCTTGTTTGGGCTGGTGGGAGGGTTATGGGGATTTCCGAAGAAGGTTGCTTAAGGTCTCATCACACTACCATCACCCCTTCTTCTTCTGCCAGTCAAAGCCAAGGAAATCCACCGACCAGGGAGACCAGACAATGCCAATGGCAATGCGAATGGGAATGGGAATGGCAACTTTTATGGGTGTGCGGCAAATGGTTTTGGTTCCTATGGCTTACAAGTGTATACACAGGATATAGTCGTACAATGGCGATATAGCCGCATTCGCCTCCTGGCCGTGCGCACGTGCTCCACCTTTTGATCCTTTTTAATGCCACAGCCCAAAAAGCGGTATCGATTTTTTTTCTTGTATGTTATTTTTTTGCCACTGCCACTGACACTGCCGCCGCAGATGCCCAAGTCGGCATGCATATGTGGACGCATTTAAAATAATTAAAATTACAGCACGTTTCAGAGCTGCGAGCTTACAAATAAATATTGCAATGATTTTTAAGTAAATGTGATAAAACATCGGGGTTAACTGGTTTTTTGCTAAAAGATAAATAAGAGATCTTAAAGTTTTTTAAAATGTGTTCTTTTCAATATATAACTTGAATAAATGAATTATATATAATTACAAAAAGTCCTCTGAATTTTTAGGTGTCAAATTTTTTATTCAAAGTTTATGAATATTCAATAGCATATTTTGCATCCCCAGACTGACTTATGGTCCTGAAGCGCACTGTATCTTCCTATACTCGCCATTACCACAATTTGGTGGGGACAGTCGCTCCACTGCATCCTTTCGGCTCCAAATGCACATAATATATTCCCTCTGTTTTTGTGTGTTGAAGACAAAACTCAACTCATTAGCGTGTGGAAGAGGCTGCGGAATGGGGGGTGAATCACAATGGGGGCACGGGGCGTGGCATGTGGCACATGTCTGGCTCACTGGTTTCTGCATTTGAATTTGCATTTTATTAAATTTCAAAAGCTCTTTTCACATGCCCCTATAAGCGGCATTCCCCGACCACTCGAGGGCACACCTGAAGCCACCATTGTTAGACAGGTGGATGGGTGGCAAAGTGGGGCCACGAGGGTGGTACCGAGTGCAAAAGGTTGAGCATTGCATATTTATGCACTTAATAACGCATTTTAGCATACTCAAGTGCAACTCATCTTTTGTTACATCTCCCAGTGCAAAGAGGGTGTGGCAGTGGTTGGGTGCGAAAAACAGTCGGAATATGAGTGGAATTCAGGCGAAACAAAGCCAAATGAGATTTTTCCGTGAAAACAGGCCAAATGCTGCCTGTGTGAGTTGACAATTGGAGCATGAGCGTTACTGACATGTTCATATCCAGAATGCATTCTCATATTACATGAATGCTTCCAGAATAATTAAGGGAATTCGTACACTAAAAACAACAACAAATTAATTTTCAAAAGATTAACTCTGCGCGATACAAAAATATTGGTGACAGATTTTTGTAATCAACTTGTATTGGTTTAAGAAGGCCTTATACAAAGGAATTTTAAGTTACATTAAAATAAATCATGTATTTAAAAACATCCAAATTAGCATCATCACATTTTTTTATGAACATATTGAAAAAAGGAATAATTTTGCCTTGTACTTTTTGTAAGCGTCGGCAACATCTAGAAATCTACTAAAATTCCTTTCAGGAAAATATTTATTCCACTTTTTGGAAATAAAAAATGTTTTCCAAAGTAAAAACCAAAAAATCCCTACAAAGTCGAGAAGCCTTTCAACTAAAATCAGAGCCCCGAGGACCACAATCAACTTTGGTTTTTGCACTTCTGGCAAGCGTCACTGGCAGCAATCTAGGATTATGCAATAACAATGACCAGGCGGTTGCATAATTGATTGATTGAATTCGTATGCAACAATTGGACAGAGATGGTTGGGCATTGAGTGGCTGGCCGAGTGTTGGTTTTGCTGTTGGGTTAGTCTTTGTGTCCAACCATTGTTGGCAAGTGGCAGAGGCGCAAAACACAAAACACAAAAACCGCATTTCCTGGCGAAGGACTCGATCGAAGGCAGTGCAAACAAACAAACAACGAAATGCTGGACAAAGCAATCAATGACACAACTGAAAGCCACAACGTCACCCAAGTGTGAATAGCCAAGTGGGGATGATTGAGCAGCTCTACACTCCAAGAAAAATAGTTGGATGGATGTTATTAGTTTTTAATGCAAAATTAACGAAGCAACGGTACACAATTTATTTAATAAATGGAAAGCATAATTAGTTATAGGTAAATGTGATAAGATTTATGATAACGGTTTCGGAATAATAAAAAAGCTATCAATACACATGTCCAAAAATAATACAATATATCTACATATTTCCCTTTAAACCAAATTTATTAAAATCTAAACGTGTGCTAAAGATGAAAATATGGTCTCAAATTTACTTCTTTTATTAAACATTAAAATTAATATAATTAACTAGGATATATCGGTTTTAAATGTTTCTGTGTTATTTTACATAAATAAGATACAAAATATGAATTTTTTCTTTGTGTAACCAAGAGCCATCGCTCAAGACATGTGCGGAGTACTGTGGCACATTAAATTACAGTTTTCAGAGCCAAGAACAAACAATCGAAAGTGCAGACGCGCCTTCTGCAAAGGATATGAATGTGGCTGGGTCGATGGTTCGCAATCGCATGGCACAAAGGAAAAGCGGCGCCAATCGGGAATCCCCGAGCCACGATGTCCTTGGCCAAGGCGCTTTCTAATTGAAACTGTCAGCGACAGAGGCCTGGTCGTAAATCAGGGCCGGCACGAAAACTAAGTCAAGTCTGTTCCGAGATGTTGCCGCTGCCTAAACAATTAAAAAGTTTTCAATTAACTCGCAGCTACGAAATTGGCACTTGTAATCGGCACCTGTTCAACAAGCGTAACAAACAAAGGCCTGCGGATATTTTCCAGGGGATCTGCGATGTTTTCGGGGGTTTCTGTTCCTGTTTAAATAAGCTTAGATGAGTCTGGTTGGGGGTGTGTATGGGTGTGTGGGTGGGCCAGCACTACCACCAGCAGGCACGTAATACATTTATTACGCGTGAGCACGCTGTCCTCTGATGAAAATCTAGCTGTGTGTGTAAATGAGTTTCCAACATTTCGTTGCATAATTTCAGGGTGGCAAAAAATTTAGGCTTTAAAGAGCAAAATGCTAATTCCGATGCTTTAGACTGTGATGGTAGAAATATAATCCGTTCTACAAATTGTACCCTTACTTTTGTTTGGCTAGAAAATTAACTTTTTTATGATATTTATAAAAATCAACTGAATAGTAAAGGGGACAGAATAAATAATATTATTCAAACATTCTATGTATATAATATCTACTTGTTTTTTTAAAACGAAAAGAAACACGTTTGTATAATAAATACATATTTAGTTTCATTATAATGTAAATACTACATAACATAGGTTAAAGTACCTTCATCACTCGGCTGCATAAACCCTTTTCCAGGGATTGTATAAAAGCGGAAAGTGGAAAGGTGGCGAAAGCTGGTCATTATCCAGATCCGGTAGAAATTAACTTAGAGCACGCACAGCCAGCAGAAAATGCGCGACTAAGAGCATAATGGTCTGCTGCACATAATTAGCCAGTGGCTGTCGGAGGGCTATTCAAGTGTTTTTGTGGTGGTCACTGACCACCAACGACACTCAACTGTCGCCCCCGCTCAGAGATTGAAAAGAACTCAATTATTTTTTACTGCGCGTAATTAAAACTTAGCAGCAACACACGAAAGGGAAAAGGGCGGGGGGATCCTGGATTGTCCTGTGTCAGTGGCACTGGCAAATATTAATGATGTTAAGCCCTCCCACAACTGCTAATGATGCTTTGGCTGCTGCTACCGCCACTAATTCCAACGTTCGTCGACTTCATCAACAGTTGCCAAGTTAATTACGCTAAGTGAACCATTCCAGCTGAAAGCCAACGGCTCCAGCCTCATCTTCAGCGTCAGTAAGCGTCTTCAACTTTGCAACGAGTGGAAATTGTTATTCTTTTTTCATTATTAAAAGTTTTACAGGACGAGGCAAGTTCATAAAAATGCGGCTTACTCCTGAGCTTGCCATAAATATGCAAAATATATTCCCATTTGCAGCTGGCAATTTAAAAGCCTCTTGGGCCAATATATGTAAAAGACCCTACCAGTGCCCCGAAAATTTTCAAACATACGAAAAGAACTCAAGTAAATAAGTAGACTCAAGTCCATTAAAGATGCATTACCCTTTGCTGCCTAAAATATTTCTTTGGTAAGTCGAAGCAGATAAATTCCATCACTACATTTTTTCTTTAAAGATTCGATAATATCTTTATTTTAATATAGCTTTCCTTAAGTCTACTTTACAGTCGCCAAGAACAGTGTGTTCCCTAAAAGTCCCAGATTCTTTTCACTCCTTCTTATCGTTTCATTATTTAGATATCATTAGATATCATTTGTTGTGGATTCTGCATAAGGACTGGGGAAATTATGATTTTTAACCCAGGGATTTCCCTTCAAAATAGCGACATGTGTGTCATATGCCAGAGAGCTGGCTATTAAATTACATTTTATGATTTCATTTTGTGTCCTTGGCCTCCAGCATGTCAATTTGCTGCGTCAATTTATGCGAAAATCCCGCTACATTTGTTCAACCCCTAGAGGAATAAAGAAGATAAGAGGATTCCTAGAATTCCATGCAGTCCAGTTTTTGTTTTAAGGTCTTTCCGCCGATCCACTAAAAAGCGCACAAACAGAGACCCAATAAATCAACACGCTACGCCGACGATGACGCACTCCATCATCAATATGCTATTAATGGCAGTGCAGTTGTTAAAATATTATGATACCAAGAAAAATTTGACTTCCTTTTTGTGTGAGCATGGGGGCTGGTGGCTGGGTACTTAAAAAATCACTTCATAGTATTTTCTCGCCTGTTTTAATACGCATTTTCTCGCTGGGATGATTTATGCGAGGCGGAAATGGAAATGAGGATAACTCCCCAGTGGGTTCGAATTCCAATTGAGTGGGGGGGGGAACTTCCTGCTTAACGCTCGTAAACTGCTCAAAGGCGTAACAAGAAATTAAGCTTGTGGCTTAACGCACTTGCAACAAAAATGGAAACGCAATCGGAATGGAAATGGAAAAGGAAATGGGTTTGTTTGGTTTCGTTCACTGGGTGGGTGGGGGTTCGATGATAAGGGTTCGGGGGAATGGATAGACACGCGTCCTTCACAAACCTCGACACGTGTCTGTTGAAACAGAAACACGTTTTGGACAAACCACTGGCAAAAATAAGTGCTTTGAAGCTGAGTAGCAAGCAAATTTAAAAATCTTTTAAAAAACCGAAATTGAATTAAGAAATTTGCAAAAATTTCGAAACTTTAACGCAAGAGAAGCGCATTTATTTATGAAGTTATTTAGTCCTAGCAAATTTTAGTGTATCTCCCATTCTTATTGGTTTAAATTCAATTTCATCTAAGAACCACTATATGAAAGTGAATTTAAACAACTAAAATGAATGTTTTTTTAAGTGCACCCGTTTGTGTTGAAAACGAAATTGAAAACTGTTAAATAAATCGCAAACGAGTTTATTGCTCGAGTGGTGTGCATCGCGGCACAAAGGGGAGGTCGAGATAACCAGCATAACCAACACATTTCACCCAGCCAACTATACCACTCAACCATCTCATCCAACTCATCCAGCATATCCTGATCCGAAAAAGACCCCAGACGGACGGAGGATCCACTTGAGGCTGCGTGGGCCGCATTCACTTAACTTTAATTTTGCACTACAAAACACAAGAGGAGAGGGTCGAAAGGAGAAGTAAGGGAGCAAAGGAGTCGAGACAGACGTGATTGGATTTTTATATTCAATATAAAAAGGGATTATATGGCATTTGTTGCGCAAGCATTGAAAGTTCATAATGATTGGAAAAGTTAGGGCCACTCAATCATCGGACCTCGTGTTCCGTTTGAGCTTTGGCTTACACGTGGCATGTAAAATCAATTTTTCCAGCCCGAAATGAGTGCAACGTGGCCAGCGACACCGGCCAAGTCCTTCGCAGGTGTATTAATAGCTCCTGCTGGGAGCTCAAGCACTTCCGCTGTGAAAATACCCACAGCCGTATGAAGATTATCTAGATTATGCAAAGATGCCATGAAATATCCAAGCAGAAGCCACTTTCCAATTTAAGAGCTGACCAGCCCCTTATCCCATCAATTCTGGCTAATGGCCTACGGTCAGTCTTAATAGTTTCGCCTGACAGTTTAAAGTGTCCGACAGTTTAATGGACCTTGTCCAGTATTTATTGTATTAATATTGCACGGACAGCGTTTCCACAAATGAGAAGGGAAAAGTGTGTCGACACACTTAGAAAACTTAAGGTTCCGGAAATTGCCATTAATTTTATTTTCAAAAAATTTGTCTATAGACTAAAGAATAAAATTTGGTTTTTAATAAGAATAAAGAAAATTAATGAGGGAGAGTCATTTGAGTTTTAAAAAAAATATATTCTTCTTGTTCATAGACTTAAAAATAAAATATATTATTTAAGAAACTATGTGAATATAGAAGTCATTAAACAAAAACTGTTTTATGTGGAATAAGCTAGATTGAATACACAGGTTTTCAAGCTTTAATATTGTATTCAAGTGCCCTGCTGTTCCTTCATCAATTGTTGGACAATTGATGAATTATTAATGCATATTTGCTAAGTGTAAAATTTTTTAATTTTCAAGGTGTTTTTTTTAGTGCATTATTGGTAACCCCCTTAATGCGGGTCTGTCAATCGTTAATGACTGTGTACTTACCTCGGGTATATCATCTGGCACCTTTCCCATCCAGGACAAAGAGAGTATCGTGCAGTCGCATTTTGTGTTGATGTTGCGCTCGAAGTGTAAATGCATTTTATGGCCCAAAAGCGAAGGCCAACCAACTATTTCCTCAAGTTGTGGTTTTTACTGTAGCTATAGCTGCTCAACGCCGATTTAAGCCACACACATGTTGCTAAAATAGAGTGGAGAAATAAAGGAGGCGGGGATGAGTTTCATTATCGTTTAGTATCACATGCCAATAACTAATTTACGATGAAAGCCAAATGGAGTAGATGTTGTTGATTTTGTTGTTGGTGGTCGTGTTGCCAATGTTGTTATTATTATTCTGGTTACTGCTGCTGGTACCTTATCAGGCTTAAACACACACACACTCCCGCTCTGCCTTGCGGGTCATTGGTTGTGCTTTGTACGGGGATTTATCGGTGGGTGGAACGATGTTCCGGCATATGTTCGCCGTGCTCCCCCTAAAGTGAAATCGACTTCATCGTGCTCCTTCAAGGGTTGACAAATTGCGCCATGCAAGCTCACAAGAAACACACACCCACGTACACGACATAATTTGAAGCATGCTTTTCAGGGCACACTAATTGGTATTAGTGAGTAAGTGGATATGTGTCCTATCGGACTCTGCACCGCCTTTCACCAGGATAACCCACTCACACACACACGCACACCGCTCATAAAAATCCATTTAACGAAATGGCATACATATAAAAACATCTACTTGCTCGCAGACTTTGAAAACTTGTTTGCGGAAGTCGAATGCCTCGATGGCTAAAGTTTGAATTGGTTAATTTTGTTACTCTTGGTCTTTCAAGGAAAGTTGGCAAGCATGATAAGCTCAATATAATGAGTTAAAAATGTTTAACTTGGTTTCAAAACTCAACATTTTAAATGGTTCAGTCAGGCTACACTTATTTAAGTCAAGGTATTGCAAAATGTATCCATTCCATATTTAAATTTGTTTCTGCATTAACAGATGCTTTAGTAGCTTTTTAAAAACCAAACTTTTCAGCTCAACAAATATATACAAAAACTTGTTTAAATTGAAACAGAAATTTTCAATCTGCTGGAAACACAATATAGCAAGTGGTAAAAGCTCAAACGATGTCAAAACTTCTCCGTCACTTTCGCGACGCCACTCATTTAAATTATTTAAAAAGTTTTTAGGCAAAAAGTCGAGTTGAATAGTCGAGCCGGGCTAAGCGCTCTGGGCAAAGGAAAACAATCCCTCGCTGAGCAGAGCGAAGGAGAGTCCTCCAGTATGAGAATGTTTCAAATTATTCTTGAATAATTGATATGGCTTGCTGCTGTCTGTTGTCTCGTTTGATGACTGCCTGCCTAGCCGGCTTCTCGTTCTCTGCCGAGCGTTTGTTTTGTGTAATTTGGTCCAGGCAGGATGGCTTTACAGGGAGAAAAATTTTTAATAATAAAACAGAGCCCTCAAAAGATCTTTAAATTAATTGATGTAAAACATTTCAGCGTAATAACTTAAGTCTTGTTAATTGCAACACTGTTTAACTCCTAGCTTTGTGAATATATAGGTATAAACACTTAAATATTATTTCTATTGATATAGCTCATTTAATATTACTAAGGTTTCTTCTCTTAGTATATAAGTTACAATTTTCAAAGTTTTTACCCAATTCCCGTGTTTTTTCCGGTGTATCAGAACAATGCCGGTGGCTAGAAGAACTTATAGATGAAAAGGGAAAGAGGGTTGCCCGACCTGTGGCAAAAGCACATACGCATTTGCTTCAATTATGTTGTGCACATTGTCTGATTGAATTTGACATGTGATATACCATTTTTGATTGCGTATACGCCCCGAGGGCGAGCCGTCATCAAAACCGGTCAGCTTACAACGAACGAGGCTGTCTGAAAGCCAACTAATGGAATCTTTCGGGAGGATTGCCACTTGCCTGCTTAAATATTGATAAAAAGCCAACTACAACTCGTTACAAATTGAAGAGTCCTTTGAATTCCATTTCAATAAGACAGACAGACAGCAAAAAATAAAAAAAAATATACATAAAAAAAACGAGGGAGGAATGCATTCTCGAGTAGTTCACGAGATGAATGATTGCACATCCACCGTGGGGCACATTCCGAACGTGTTACTTTCGCCACTCTGACGCACTCACCCGCTTTCCAGCTGCCAGACAGCCATTGTTCGGCTGCTTTCAAATTGTTCAACGTGCCGCATTTGGCAGCCAACCTGCACATTTCCACCCACCAATCCTCCAACCCGCCAAATGCCAGCCTTTCGGCGCTTTCATGCGACTGCGACACTGAGCACTTTTAAGCGGTTCATGGCCATAACGCGGCAGAGTAACGAAAATAGCTGAGGCGGCGTCGGAAAAGCTGTCGAAATGCCAGTCAGACTCGGTCTCGAGCGGAAAACTCCGGGCAGGTGTGCACTTTTAGCTGTGCAACGGACACGACAACCTGGCCCAGACATCATGAAATATGCATTTAACCATCAACAATGGCAACCAGCCTTGGTAATGGCCCGGAGCCAAACTGGCGAATAAATAAAGCCAAATAACTTTGTACAAGATTACTTAATCCATTGCAAATACAATTGTTATTGATACAATTTGCTGCAATCAAAGGCCAACAAAAGCTTTGTGTAAATGTATCAATTAAACAATTGAATCAATATTCATCAAATTGCTTTCAAAATTTCAATTTGTTTAACAGGAATTTGATTTGTATTTATGCCAATACTTTTATTGCTTCTCGAAACAACCCTCTCAGAACATTATACGTATTCCGAGAATACAGGATTTGGTTCAGCTCTGCTATTAAAAGTTAATTATGTGGAAAGAAGCAAAGGCGGAACACACATAGCTGGTCACAAAGTAAACTTTAGTTTCCTGTTAGTTGGTTCTCGTTCTCGTTCTCGTTCTCTATCTCTTTCTGTTGCAATTAGGCTGCCGAAAATAGATTGCGTATACGCTCCATGGTACACAGTTTGCTGTAAGGCGCTTAACTATTATGTAGTCGTATAACTGGTGTTGTTACTGCTAGCTGAAATTTTTGCGGGTGAAACTTTTGCTCTTTTCGCTGGATCGCATAATTTTTGGCATTTGGTAACTATCCTTACATTGGTAACATATGTTCAAATATTAATAATTCAGCACCTATTTTCCAAACGAAGAATCCAACAGCTTGAACGAAATCTTTTGATTTGACTAGTCACGAATGCAGCGTAAACTTTTTAATTTGGCTTTTAATATGGGTACAAATGAATATCATGTCCTTTAAAATAAAGCCACCAAATTTTTACATTGCATTATCATTTTTTGTTTAAATTAATATCGTAGTCCAAACCGAATTTATTTTATTGAAGTATCTTAGCCACGTTTTTGTTTAAAATTAAAATTTAAATAAAAATTGAGTCGACAGAATAATTGGGTTATTTAAAATGCTATCAGTGTAACCCAATTAATTATTACTGCTTTAAGTTAATTCCAGCTTATATTTGCAAATTGCAAATTTACATATTCTTTCAACTGTATGTAATGCATAAATGTGTATTCACTTAATGCCGCTAAAATCCTGATTTACTTTTTTATCCTTCGCGCATGTCCCTCCATTATGTCTGCGAATTAATTGTGGCAATTTGCTTTTGATCCTTGGGGCACAGGACGGAATTTGAATGAACGCAATTATTTTATTTTCATCATGCTTTTCATCTACCTAACGAGCTGGCATTGTTCATATTTTCTTTTTCCTGTCGCGGTTATTGCTGTCAGCGGTCCTGGAATGCCCTTGAACCGCTTGAAACTAGCCCAGCTCGCTGCTCCTTTGCACATAGTATAATATAGTGTAATGGAAGTGCAGCGGTGCATGCAACAAGACTGAAAACAACAAGAACCACACTACAAAGTCGAGTGGAAGGAACGAACCACTTTGAGCTCAATTCGGAATTTGTGTGCGTTGTCCTCGACTTGAAAGTTTCGTGACGTTGGCCACAGGAAAATATATGCACATAAAGCATTTGCATGACGACATGTATCGGGAAGGTATTTATGCCAGCCTTTGCTTTCTAGTTTAATATATATGGAATGGAAAGGCCGCTCGTAAATCAAAAGCCTTGGGTAAGACAATTTACTATTTTCAAAAACTTTTAATTACGGATTTATTTTACTGCTTTTCCTATTCACTTGTGTTTTTAATGATAGTTGAATTCAAAGTAACATGTTTTTTTAGATTGATATGTCATAATTTCAAGCCAATTTTTATTTATACAACTTGAACTGTTATCTAGGAATATTTTTTTATTTCGATAATTTATATTTTTCAGATTGTTTATAGCAAAATATAAACGAAACGGTCACTGAATTATACTTAACAAATTATGTACATGAGGATTTTTTTAACAATAAGGACCAAAAATAATTTAAGTAACTGAAAAAAATATTTTCGGTACTGATTTAGCACCGAAGGATGTTGTTTAAATCAATTTAAACCAATTATTTTTATTTTAAAGTATGGTAAGATGTAGTTCTAAATTAAAAAAAATTAAATCTACCATTTTCCTGTTGGATAAACCAATTAAATGTGTTAATAAATATATTATCATGTTTTTAGTTTATTTTAAGTAAGTTTATATTTTTGAAAAACAATGCTACATTCAAATATTTCAATGTTTAATTTTACTATGGGGTTTTTTCTCTAGGTGTAACAACTTATATAAATCACACATGTAACTCACATTACGTTTTCAAACCTTTAAGCTCTAATTTAAGATTAACCACATTTGTGAAAAGATATCTAATCCTGGCTTTCATTTTAAGTTTTCCCTAATTATGTGTCCGCTGTGTTGTGTGCCGCTTGCCAGGCAACCGGTGGGATTGGAACAAGTTCAAAGCCCACGTAGCTCTCTCCAATTTTTCTTCCCCTATGGAGTGCGCCGGTCGCCCCAGTAATTGCTGGGAGCTCAGTTTCCACTGCCCATGGGGCATTCGCTTTAATTAGCCACACGCCAGCAAGCACAAGAAATACGTTTGAAAAGGAAAAATCATTAAAAACTGTTAAACAACAAAAGGCGACACCGAACATGCATGCATTTAATTGGCAAGGTTTTTCCAGGCAACCACTACCTTTTTCCTTAACACTTTCTTTAAAATAAAGCTGGAGGAGCTTCGGAAAAAACCAGAAGACTAGAAAAAGCAATAAAATTTTGCATAAATGACGAAATAAATGACAGCCAAGAAAAGCAACATTGACAAATACACACCCTGTGGGAGGGGAATTTTCCTCCTGTTTTGTCAGCTCTTTGGGTGCCGGCTACATCGAATGTCTTTCTATGTGTACACTGAGCTTTAATGGTGGAAAACCATTGGGGAAAACACTAGGGAAATGCCATATAAAAGCTGACGCTGGGCTCTTTTCCCAGCTACCCTCCGTTGTTCGAGCTTGTTTATTGACTTTCTGCAGGGTTTGGGGCAGTTGGCAGTTGGGGGTGTGTCGTATAATTTGTTTCTACTTTAACATAACCCACCCCATCCCCCCCCCTTTTTCTATAGAATGTTGGGGAAAATTGTGCGCCTCAGTGGCGCTACAGTTACCCAAATGTATCTGGTTTTTTTGTTGTTGCCGGGTGCGTTTTTCTTTCTTCTTGACAATATAAACAATTTTTCCATTATTTCTGTTCGCTGCTACAGCTACTGCTGCTTCAGTTATGCAAAATAATCAACATGGCAGAGGTATTCAGATATTGGCAAGGCAAGGAATAACACAAACAATAACAATCAAGGAAAAAACAAAAGCAAAACCAAAGCCGCCGCCTGTAGTCAATGGCGTAAATATTGGCAAAACATTCGGAAAAAACCGCAAATCGAGCAAACTGCACTTGAACTTGCCACAAAGACCAGCCACATCGTCCTCCCACTGTCAGCTCGAATTATATAATGCAAATCGCGATAAATACAGTCGAACTTCTGTAGTTTGAGCCTCGACTTGCTAAATTAATGACTTATTTAATCAGTTTTAACTTTTAAATAACCAAATTCAAGTTTTTAAACATTTAGATTTCTTTTGTTTAAACATACACTTATTGATTTTGTGCTCTAATGAAAGTAAATCTAAAACGAGAAGGTATTTTTACTTGGGAACATCCGAAAGTGAAAACAGCTACAGTCCTCTAAATTTTCGATTCCGCGCATTTTTAAATAAAACAAAGGGATTAACTTTTTTAAGCTGAATACTTGGTCACACAAAATCAACAGCCTCATATGTATAAAATTGGTAAAATAATGCAAATTTTTATTTCAAAATGTTTACAAATTAATTTAAGACGAAAGAGTTTTAAATTTTTTTTTTAAAGTTTTCTGCGGAAAGCATTGGTTTTATATACAACACGCATCTACAAGCCTTATGTGACTGATTCTTTTTTTGATTTTTAAATTTTTACTTTTTCACTTTTATCACTTTTTAAACAAAAAGTTTTCAAAGTATATTTAACAAATTAACTTAAGCAAATCGAAAATTTTTAAAAATATATATTTAAACAAAACGAATTACAAAAATACGACATAGCGATATTGGCCTGTATTTGCGAAATACTGGGGCCGGAGCAACTGAAACGCAGCGAAATAAGACAAAATGTAATGACCTTGGCAGCCAAGCTAACACACATTGGCCCACACCCCCAGACACCCCCGCATTCAAGCACACACAAACTTAAAAATAATTTCTCAAAGAGAAGCGCCAAGAACAAAAACAAGAAAAAGACATTGGCGGTCATGCGTTGGCGTCGCTGCCTCAGTAGCAGTCGGCGTCGGCAGAGGCATCTAAATTATGCAAACTGAAATTGCGGAACATCACACACACCCAATTTATTCCGTCCAGCTGACGCCGCAATGCAAATGTAACGGTTAATGCTATAAGGCTAAAATGCTTATCACTTCGACTGACCAACTAACGGAATTTCATTTTCTGCACGCTTTTTCCACGGGCTTTTTATAGACGTGTGCTCCAGATTGCCACTTCTCCGACCAAACTTTTCCCGCCGGAGTCGTTTCATGATTACAGAAAGAAAAATTAATATATGAAGATTTTTAGGAAACTAAACTCAAAATTAATAAAAACTATTCAATCTTTGCTTTGATTTAGTAGATTTTTCTAAAATAATAATTATTTACTCAAAAATAAAAAAAAAATTTAACGGGAAAGGTTGGTCTATGGTCTAAGGTCTTCTTTGCCGGGTGACGCCTGAGAACATAGAATGCATCTCTATTTAACATATTACATATGTAATATTAAACTTGATGTAAAATCAAGATTTTTTTTCTGTGTAGGGAAAACATAACACACCCGTGGTATCCACTGTGAAAGCCAATGCCGATCGATTTTCACTGTCATTGGTTGTTTGATGCGGATTAATCGAAAACGTGCGTGGGCAGCTCACTCAACTGAAACTAGAAACGATACCGAATCGCTGGAAATTTAAGTCGTGTAAGCTAAGCAAATATGGCTGATAAAAAACGTTTAACCAAGGTAAAAACAAAGGTAACATGGCATTGGGCAGAGCACCTTTAATTAGCCCAGAATTCAGGGAGTTGTTGCGGTGCCCAAGGTGTTGTGCTTATGTGGCCACAACAAAAACTCACCCATATACGGGAGAATAAGCCTAATTTAGATATACTTGAAACTTTACAAAATTACCATGTTAAGGGCAACGGTGTACATAATATTACTTAATAGTTTAATAGATTTCCAATCATCAACTCACATTCCAAAAAATTGGTTTATGAAATGATCCGAATTTTGGAATAAATTTAACTTTTATGGCATTTTATGTTACTCTAAAGATTTGCCAGTAATGTTTTGGAATTTTAAGGTTGTTTAAGCATTGCTAAAATAACTTAAGAACTTGAAAATTAAAGTTTAAGTAACGATTTTTTTATAATAAATATTTGTTATACCTAAGTCTGTTTGATTTAGGCAGGTCGGCCTGTAGTACAGACACTCGCAGTGTCCATGGCTTTAGGGCCAATCCACCACCGAGTGAGAGAGGCTAAAAGGATGTTTTTCAGCCAGGGGACAACGGAATTCCGCAACTCACCTGTAAAGTGCCTCCCACGTCTCTGCTGCTCCTGTTCTTGGAGCTCCTCGAAAATGCTACCGTTGAAAGTACTGCTATTCGAACAGGCTGATCCAATCAAATTACAGCTTTTCAACCGAAAAATTGTTGCACCGCCAACGACTCGAGTGTGTTTTGCAACTGTTTTGGGGCAGACGTTCCCGTTACTTTTTCCCGTTTTCCTGTTATTTTCCTTTTTTATCTTCTCCTCTCACACACACTCACGGGCAGGACACACAGCCATATGCAAACGGAACGCACATGCAGCGCGGTTAAAATACCGTTAGCACACACTGCTTGCAGAGACGCCCGAACGTGGACTGTCTGAGAATTTCGATTCCGGAAAGTTTACAGGGGCCCCACATAGGATAAGGGGGGCGCCCGGAGCGCGCCTGCGCACTGGATACTCCATCCGCATAGTTATTATCAACGTAACTGTCAAACTGACGGAATTTACGCGTTCCGGTTGTTGTTAACGTGTATTGATTTTCTAGTAACGGGGGGTCCAACCACTATTTTGTGTTTAATATATGTGCTTTTTCTTAAAAACATAACATTTTACACATTTTTAGGTTTTTAAAAATACTACTTTACTTTATACAATTATTTATAGTTTTAAATAAATAAATATTGCAGCGGTGCTAACAGAAAGCTGTAACTGTAACTTGGCTGTTATAGTTGTAACGCCTGCGAGGGATGCACTGCTTGCCATAAAAATGTATCGATTGGATATGTATCGCCTGCCCAGATAGCAAGCAGGGATACGAAAAATATCTCATCGATATTTTTGTTCGAAAAACCTAAAATCACATCAAGATTTTATTGTATTTTTTAATATCACAATGACAATTAATTTATCGTTATAAGGACCAAATCTAATCTTATATTTATGAGTTGAAAAATTTTTTTTTTATCGATATTGATATTGACTTGACAGCCCTGGTGGCTAGTGCTTTGCAACGCCAAAGCAGTGCAGCGCTATGCAGCACTGGACGCCCAGCAGATTTCTCGTTTCTCTGATAAATTGTCAATAACTTTGCCCGTCGTTGGATGCAGGTTGATTCCTTTTGCCAATATTATTTGTTGTGCAGCCCACGCGTTCGTGTGTGTGAGTGAGTGTGTGCCGTGTATGTGTGCGGGGCCTTGGACTGCCCCCAAATTGCAAAGATTGCAAAAGGCCACGGAAAAAACGGGCCCAAAGGAAAGGAAAATTGTGCAATAGTCGCGAAAATCGAAGGACTCGCAGCAGGACGACGACGATGTGAAGCTGCAGGCGGGCGGTGGTCTCCTAAAATCAAGTGTGAAATCATGTGCCTGGCGGAGCAACCACTGAAGCAACCAAGCCGGAGCAGCACCTCACCCACATTCAATGCGAAGTACAGGCGAAAATGCCTGCTCCTCCTGACGCTGCTCCTCTTCCACGGCTGCTTCAGCGGACTGCACCGCGCCAGCGCCTTCAACTGCACCGCCCACGGCGGCCGCTGCCAGAACGACGGCCAGTGCCAGGAGGATGGCCAGTGCCTCTGCGCCGACGGCTGGCAGGGACCGGAGTGCCAGTTCTGCGGGGGGAAAGTCCGGTAAGTAATGGTCATATGCCTACAAAGATAAGGTTAAATGGGCACCGTAGAACTCCTTTAACTCGAACATTACAAAGTGGATCACATAATTGGTGCCCGTCATTACACAGAGAAAAATGATCAGGTTTAATAGATACAGGAGATCTTGTTTATCTATTAAACTATTGAACACAGTGCCATTAGCTACAATAAAGACACAAATAATCAGGAAAAATAGAAACAGAGACTTCAAACCAAAAATATCTACATATGAATAAAGGCTATTCCAAATGATAGTCAAAAGCAAAGTCGGTTGGAAGTTAAAAACAACGATTTATGTGGCTAGTTTGATGGGAACATAAAGTAAAGTATAATAATTTAGTTCATATACTGGTGATGTATACATAATTTTAAATAGTGTCTAATAACAATGGGACCTGTTTAGATTCAGCCATATTTTTCTAAAATTGTAATTCAATTGATAAATATAACATCGAAATGATATTTTTGACTTATCAAAATGAAATGCTGGTAAATGGTCGTAAGCTCATCAATATCATATACATTTTTCTTTCTGTTTAGTTGTGGTCCCCTAGTGATTCACTCCACGTTATTCAATCAGAACTCCTCTACCTTTTTTGGCCCGGCCTATTTGTGTCAGGCAACGGTTCAGTTTCATCTGGTCGGACGGGTTCTTGGCCGGGTTTATCTCAACTCTCCACCCTCCCCATCTCCCATTTCTCCCGTTCTCTTTCTCCCATTCTCTCTCTAAACATTCTTTCACCTGCTTTCAGCTTTCTACGCCTCCCCTGACGTTTTCAATATGCGGATTATTCAATTAGTTCGGTTTGACTTTGAACTTGTCCGGGGCAGAGGTTTTTTTTTGGGTGCCATATGAGCTTCTTTGGCTGATGCTTAGATTGAAAAGAGAAAAATAAAGCTAAACTAGTCTAGAAATAAGCCTCTAACAATCTCACAACTTTAAGATCTTAAATTTTTGTTACCCATAAATTCAGTTATTATTCATCAGATATTAGTATTTTATATGAGTCTACAACAAAATCGATTATCTTGTACTATTTTATTTGCTTAGCCGGAACTATAGATTTGTGCTAGATATGTAGTTTGCCAGAATTGTTTATTGATATGTTTTTGCCACATTTCCACACTCTTATTTCAGATCTAATTTTATTCGCCAAACAATAAGATAACAGTTTTTTGCTAGTCATAAAATGATATTTAAATATGGTGGTCAAACAGAAGTTGTTGTTTTTTCATGCGTGCAGTTTGTGGGATATGCGGCCAGGCCAGTTTAACCGAACGCTGACGCTGGCGTCATAATGCTTATGAAATGGTTTGTTTATGTTTCTTAACAACGGCTATTTGCTCGCCAAGCCCGATAAGCGAGTGTGTTCTATCTTGACATTAATTAAGCCCCTCATCTGCCGTGATGGGAGCTGGAATTTGCGCACTCAAGCATTGAGGTTGTCGTTTCACCTGCCCGAGACCATCGAAACCAGTTCGGCGGTGCGTCTGTAGACCCCTGATCCCGACCTGCGGTTCAGCGGTGGATCGCAGCTTTTGGCGGGCCATAAATTCCGAAGCTACATGCTCGTCCGTTCAATTTAACCAGTGATAAGGGGACAAGTGATTCTTCTTATCAGCTGTGTGCGCCCGCTTATCACCTGTGAATTTCACGATTCTAGTCCAGACCCACCCGCTGCCTGTTTGTTTGCGTACGACTCAGCAATTCAAACGACCTTACAGAGCCGACATTTTGCCGGCTTTCTATGCAAAAACAGGGCAAAACCAAACCAGTTTTGGTTTCCCTCACTTTGATTGCATTCCAAACCATTGGCCACATGAGGAGGACGTCTATTCACCTACTTCGGCTACCGATCCCCCCAGTTTCATCTCCAGGTTCCTTTTTTTTTTGTATCTCCAAAGCTGTGCGTAAGCTTAGCAGTCGACTGCACAGAGTGACTCACCGGCTGCCAATGAGTGTGTAAATATATCTTTGCCCAACATTGATTTTTCGTGGCTATCGCTTGAAATGGCAACAGGCACGGACTGCATCCCGGCTGGACGATTGTTTACGTAAAGTTTAGAACTGCCCGAGACACAACGCCCACACGAGGCAGTCTTTAACAGACGCGGTTGCAACAATAGAACCCTCTCGCCTTATCACTAAAAAGAAACCAAGCTACCTGACAATAATCACAAACTTATTTAAAGATGCGTTTAGCAAAAAATGTATGTCAAAAAGTTTCAAAACCTACCAAAATACAATGTCTTTTTTAGTGATTTTACACAGCTATAAATATTCATTAAAAGAAAGGAAATAATGTTTAATGAACAGCTCTATTTCATATTTCTCAGAAGCAATAATAATATTAAATAATAAATTAAAGGTTGACATTTCTAAAGTGTTGACCGCAACTGTTTGTGTGCTATATGCAGTACTTATCGGCACTTGCTCAGTGTAACGTGAGTCGCATTTAGAATGCGGAAGGCTACCAATTCCACTTTCTCCGAGTACTCTGGCTATTTGAGTTAATGCTTTTAACTAGTACAAATAAACAACTTGAACGAGGCTCCAAAAGTTTCCTTCAAAATGATAAACAATAACATTATACAATTTTTTCACATACGAACTAAAATGTTAGGTGTTTCTTTCGCTAGACCTCTCAATTGAAAAGTTTAAAGATCAACTATTCAGGCCATTACTGGCAAATACAGGCTAAATTTTAATTGTCATATTTTTAGAGCACTGCGCTTTGTACTCCACACAGCTGTAAATTGAAATCAGAGCGACTAAAACAGGGGAAAGCAGTTATTTATAAGCGGATGTGCACACAAAACACTAAGAAAACAACAAGACAGACAAAGGAAGACTTTGGCAGGCGACTGCCGGATACCCTTATCGAGTTTCAAGCTCTCAAGTTGTCACATTCCGTTTAAGACTGTCTTGCGGACATATTTCCACTCGTAATCCCCCGTGTGCAGAACAAAAGCCACGGCTCACAAATGCCCAAAGGGTGGACGACGAGCGTCGACTTTGTGAGGCTGCCGCGAGTCAACAGTTGAACGGCTTCAGCTCGGTCACACATTGATATATGTAGTAAACTACTCTCCATCATACCATGCACACTCTCCCCATATCAACTGTAGATTGCAATTGCACTGGCCGGCAAATTCAATTATCTGCTCACAGCATCGGGCTATTGGCATTTGCATACGTGCATGTGCAATGAGCGCACTGCACTATCTATCGCTAAATCGATAGAGGAATTGATTTATTTCGCCACCTCGAAGCTAATGGCTTCGCCATCTCCCCTTTCTCCGTATCTTCCAGCATGTACCACCCCATGGGCACGATTCACGACGGCTGGGGCAACTATTCGGTGAGTGTCAAGTGCAGCTGGCTAATCGATGCCCGGCATCCGCACTGGAACCGCCGACATAACACCAACCCGTCGCGAACCGCCAACATACGGATCCACCTGCGAGAGTTCGCCACGGAGTGTGGCTGGGATCACCTGTACATATACGATGGCGACAGCGTGGACTCGCCCCTGCTGGCGGTGTTCAGGTGAGTTTCTTTCCTTGCTTCCCATGTGGATTTATTATAGCTTACCATTCCCATACCCATCTTCCCTTTAGTGGCCTCATGTACCGGGGGAACTTCTCCATTCGTCGCGTGCCACAGGTGATTGCGAGATCCGGCACAGCCCTGGTGCACTTCTTCAGTGATGATGCCTACAACATGTCCGGCTTCAACCTCACCTACAAGATGAACGGCTGTCCCTCGGATAGCGATGGTAGGCTCTTCATTTATCCCTGTTTTAAAGGAGAACTCAAAAGGTGTCCTTACCATTTCAGAGGTGGAGTGCTCTGGCCATGGCAAGTGCCGCGATGGCGACTGCGTCTGTGATCCCATGTTCAGGGGTGAAGCCTG